GTTCTCCATGTGGTATTCACGGCCACATATCCCAAGTCGGCCCCGGTCCTCAGTCTCAAGTTCCCTCATAGTCTCCGGGAGGGGACCAAGTTTAAACTTCAAAAGGTGGTTGAGACAAAGGCAGCTGATATGACTGTTGAGCGACCTATGGAGCCCATGATACATGAGATCGGCGAAGCTCTGAAAGAGATCCTTGATGGTGCCGCAGAAGCAGAGGCTGCTGGACGAGAAATTCCAAGCTTGGAAGAGGAAAGAGCTATGCACGAGACTGCCGTTGCTCTTAAAGCAGCAAAAGAGGAGGAAGACCAAGCTGCTCGCGAGAGAGAAGCCCGGATCGCTGAAGAAGAGAGGTTAACTGCCGATGCTCAAGTTCTGGTTGCAAGATATGAAAAGAATACCAAAGACTCACGAAGAAAGAGTAAAGCTCCAGTTGCGTATGAAGACCAGATCGTTGATGAAGACCTCGAGGCAATGAGAGCGGTTGTGGCGTTTGACGAGCCCATCAAGCTTGTTGATGACTTCGATAATGAGAGAACATTCCAAGCAGTTACCAGCTATTACAGGATTCGCCAAGGTCCTGTATCTGAATGCTTCACAGCACGCCCGGTCCTCAAAGGTGATCCTATTCAGTTGTTGGTGTTGAAGAAGACGACTATTCGGAGTAGCGATAACAAGAAAACCGAATTCAGAGCCCAACTGGCGGGGCTAGAGAGAGAGATCTCCACTCTGATGAAAATCGACCGGGATAACATCTTGCGCATTTATGCCTATAAACTGACAAAGGAGAGCGGTACAAATGCAGCTTCGGATGGCCTATGGACTCTTAGTATTCTGACCGAATATGGAAACAAAGGATCCCTTGAAGAATGCCTCGATATCTCGGGGAGTCTCATGGCGGAGAGAGTTAAGTCCTGGGCCATGGCACTGCTTGACGCGTTAACCTATCTCCACTCTCAAGGAATCACGCACCGAGACCTCCATGCCTCGAATGTCCTGCTTGTAAGATCCCCTTTGGGAGTTGTAACGCCTAAGATCGCAGACGTAGGGTTTCAGCACCGCTTACACACCTTGAAAAACGCGACGTCTCCCGGGAAACTCGAGCTTGCTAGATCGGTTTATTGGGTCCAACCAGAGAACGTCAACTCTGAGAGACCTCAGTACACCTACAAGACGGATATATGGGACTTCGGTATTATCTTTTTGCAGATGATCTGGGGACTCGGTGTTTTGAGAGAATTTTCTGCGCCACAAAGAATTCCGGAAGAACAAGTTGTTTCGAGGCCGTTAGAGGACATGATTCGTAAACTGTTCTCGCCTGACCCTAGGAAACGCCCCCGTGCCAGCGATCTCAAGATGTCAACATTCCTAACAACAACTGAGGGAACGGATGACGAAGTATCAATGCCGCTGCCCAAATCAGGATCATCCGTAGCCCTGACCTCGTTGTCGGCGAGGCGTGGTTCTAAGGTAGATCACCGTCCCCTTCACTTCAGCAGATACCACGAAGACTTCATTCAAGAAGGAAGACTTGGAAAAGGCGGCTTTGGTGAGGTACTCAAAGCTCGCAAAAAGCTTGACGGGCAGTTCTATGCTGTGAAGAAGATAACTCAGAAGTCTTCATCCAGTTTAGAAGAGATTATCAAGGAAGTTCAATTTCTATCTGCTCTTCGCCATCCCTATATCGTCCAGTATCATAATTCCTGGACTGAAATCATTCCAGACACTGGAGATGCAGACGCTGACACAGAGCTTGACTCTTCAACTGCAGATGGAACAACAGGCCCCTCTCATGCAGACAATGGTTTGAGGATTGAGTTTGGAACGAGCACCGGAGGTCTTGATTTCATAAGCTCGTCCCGCTACATTGAATTTGATGACGACGATGACGCCGATACAGCCTCCGACGACGATGACGACAACGAGGAAGCAATTATAGACGATGAGGACGAATCATCTTCACTGAGTGTCCCAGCAATCCAGCATAGGAATAGGCGCCAACTGGCTCTAACCCGTACATGCTCCAACTCACGACCAGGTGGGATTACAGTTCTTTATATTCAGATGGAATACTGTGAAGGCAAAACTCTTCGAGATGTAATCAAGCGAGGCTCACTTCTGGACAACGTCGATGAAATTTGGCGCCTCCTTCGGCAGCTACTTGAGGCTCTAAAGTACCTTCACGGCAACAATGTTGTACACCGCGATCTTAAACCCGAGAATGTGTTTATCGACGGGGCTTCGAATATCAGGCTGGGAGATTTTGGACTGGCTACATCAGGTCAATATACCATACCAGAGACGCTATCTTCTACCCAGGGCACTCATGATATGACGACCAATATCGGGACAGCTAGCTATGTAGCTCCTGAAGTAATGCTCGGCGCGGATTACACGAGTAAGGTCGATCTATACTCTCTCGGGATTATCTTATTCGAGATGTGCTATCATCCTATTGTTGGCATGGAGCGTGCTGAAGTGTTGAAAGAGCTCCGAAACCCAAAGACCATACTGCCTAGCGATTTCCAGGCCGACAAGAAGGGTCACTTTGGGGATATTATCCTCTCTCTTTTGAACCACGATCCTGAGGTGCGACCCAGCAGTTCTTCTCTACTTGACAGCGGAAAACTCCCAGTACAGATGGGCAGTGAAGCAATCCAGTTAGCATTGGCAAGTCTTCAGGATCCCAAGTCCCCGTACTATCCTAAGATGATGGCTGCTCTCTATTCTCGCCCAACCGATCAGGCGAAGGATCTGGCATGGGATATGAGCAACAAGAAGCCTCCTGCGCCTGCTGACAGCATTATGCGAACCCATGTTAAGGAGCAGCTCATCTCCGTTTTCAGACTTCACGGAGCTCTGGAGGTCCCGAGACCAATTATGTTCCCACGCTCGTCTTACTATGCGTCGGATGCTGTCCAGCTCCTTGAACCTGGTGGCACCTTGGTCCAGTTGCGATACGATCTAACCCTGCCTTTCGCCCGTTCCATCGCCAAGAACCCACCTAGAATGCAGAACTCATACGCCTTCGGAGACGTTTTTCGCGACAAGAGCGGGGGCCAGCCATTGTCTTTTGGAGAAGTCAATTTCGATATTGTATCCGACTCACTCGATCTGGCGCTTAAAGAGGCGGAAGTTATCAAGGTCCTAGATGAGATTATCGCCTCATTTCCTTGCATGGCCAATGTGCCAATGTGCTTTCAGCTCAATCACTCTGACATCCTGAACCTTATCTTCGATCACTGTGGAGTGGATGTTGATTGCCGATTAAGCGCAACAGAGACGTTGAGCAAACTTCACGTTTCCCAGTGGACATGGGCGAGAATCAAGACTGATCTCCGCTCCAACGGTCTTTCCGCAGCAAGCATCGATGAGCTTTCATCGTTTGACTTCCGAGACTCGCCTGACAGAGTATTCCAGAAACTGAAGAGTCTCTTAGACGGCACTGAGGCCTTCAACAGAGCTTCTCCAGCTATCGCCCATCTCAAAGATGTCGTCAAGTATATACAGCGATTTGGTGTGACAAGCAAGATTTTCATTACCCCGTTGGGTAGCATTCGCGAGAGATTTTACAAGGGTGGCATGCTTTTCTCCTGTCTTTATGATAGAGACAAAAAGGAAGTATTTGCAGCTGGCGGTCGCTATGACAGTCTAGTGCGTGAGTTCGTACCTAAGACGGGTCGGCAACCCGAGGTCTGCCATGCTGTAGGTTTCAATTTTGCCTGGGAGAATTTGGCTCAATCTATGTTCTCATACCACCAAAAATCTATCAGAAAACAGTCCAGGAAGCCTGCGATTGAATTGCGTGGTATCTGGACGGGTAAACGAGTAAGTCGAATTCCAGAGCATGTATATTACATTCCATACACAGAAGTACTAATCTCTTGGCTATAGTGTGACGTCTTAGTGAGCAGCTTTGATGGTCACGTATTACGCTCTGAGGGAGTCAGCCTCATGAATGAGCTGTGGCGCAACCAGATCAGCGCAGAACTTGCGGGTGATGCTCGGTCACCGGAAGATCTGATGTCGAAGTATAAGGACTATGATCACTTCTGGATTGTTACAATCAAGCAGGACTCCATGGTCAAAATCAAGACCATGGGACGAAAGGATGTCGAGGATGTGGACATGGCTGAGAGTCAAGTGGTCTCTTGGCTTCGGGGCCAAATACGCGATCGCGATCATCGCGAGGGGCAGAATCTCAACAAGATGGCCCGCCGCACCAGTAACAATGACGGTCCTGTTGCTCCTCATTTGAAGCAGCATGTTCATATCCTTACCACTGGGACGAAAGCTAAGAAGGCTGCCCTTAAAAACAGCATCCAAAACCAAGCCCAAGTAGCCGCTGCCAAGCTTGTGGAAGGGTTCCTGGAAGGCCAAGTTCTGGCTATCGAGACTACGGATGATGTTCTCTTCAAGATCAAAGAGACGCCTCTTTCAGATCCGGATAAGTGGAAGCAATTGGCCCAGAGTGTTGGACCCGCAGAGAAGCGATATATCCAGCAAATTGAGGACCATTTGAAAGGTCTTCTCGCGAATAGGAGGGGTGAGCGTCGGAATGCTTTCCTTTACAATTCGCGCACATCAAGCATCATTTACTATGATGTTTCAATTTAGTCCACGAGGGCTGTGCTATAACTTCAGAATGCGTTTTCTATTTAAGAAAGAGGGAGGATGAATGAAATGAAATGATTGATGATGGTACCGAGAAATGACAAAAAAAAATGAGAAAGATCTTCTGATGGTCAAGACAGCGAGTTAAATGCGAGTCCAATCTGAGTTGAATGTGTGTCGGCCCAACCGGTTATAGCAATCTGGGCTTGATCATGAACTGGCTGGCTAGTTCGTTGACAGCTTAAGGTCCTGGATGGGCTGGCACATGCGATAAATGCGAGAGGCATATCTGTGAATAAACATGAATGATACGTCCCTTGTGTTCTAGATGTGATATCATGACAGTGCTGTGAGATTAATTGATGCTAAACACAAGCCCATCTCTTGTCCTCTATAGTTAAATGCCATCGATGTGTCGTCGTCGTCCATATGCGGCAACTTCCAGAAGCGCGCTATATCGGCACAGAAGCTCACAGGGATGTGGCTGTTTGTAAAGTCGTGGCGTAACCGGGAGAATGGCGTAAACGGGATAGTGGGGAATATCGAGCATCAAGAGTATCACCAAACCAATGTAAACCCCCAACATGGTGCGAAAGCGTAGTCAGAAAGCCGAAGAACTAGAAGTTTTATTGGCACAAGCTGTTGCTGGAGTTAAATCCGGATTATACAAATCTTCGTACGGTGCTGCAAAGGCTTTACACCTTCGGCCAGACACAGTCCTTCAACGCGTTAATGGGAAACTGTCACGGAGAGAAGCTCGACGACAACAACAACTGCTATCGCCAGCGCAAGAGCAGACACTTTTAAAGTGGATTAAGGTGCTAACAATTAGTGGATATGCTCCTAGTCACCGTATATTGCGGGATATTGCTGACGAAATCCGTGTCAACCGATGCCGCGTTTTCGAACTGTCGCACCCTAACAGTCAACATGCCCAACACACGCATCACGAAGATATTCCGAACTTTCCCCTTGGACAAGACTGGGTCCCACGGTTTATAAAACGACATCCGCATTTACAAATCCAACTAGGCAGACGGGTCGAAACACAAAGAATGAGTGGAGTTACAAAAGATGTGTTAACGGGGTGGTTTGACACGTACAAGGACCTTGTGGCGCGTCTAGGAATACAAGAACACAACGTGTATAACATGGATGAAACTGGATTTTCGATTGGCACTATGGAGTGTACTCGGATCATCGTTGATTCTACACTCCGTACATGTCACCAGGCACACCAAGGCCGGCAGGAATGGGTGTCTGTTGTTGAATGCATCTGTATGTATGGAACGACCATTAACCCTCTTATTATATTCAAGAGTCGGAACATCTTACAAAACTGGATCCCTCCTGAGGTTATCGATAAATGGCACTTCTCTGCTAATACAAAGGGTTGGACAAGCAACTTACATGGCATCGAGTGGTTAAAACGCGTGTTTGAACCAGCAACGCATGCGAAAGTGACATCTAATGGAGCACAACAACAACGGTTACTCATATGTGATGGCCACGACAGTCATATAAGTGGCTTTATATCCCATTGTATCAAAATCGAATATCTATCCTTGTCCTCCCACCGCACACTTCGCATGTGTTGAAACCACTCGATGTTGCAGTCTTCGGATCTGCATACATCAAAGCGAGAGCAATTGTGCTATCTACTCATAATATTACATCTGCGTGGAGGGGTGCTGGTCTACAACCTTTCCAACCTCAACGGGTGATCCGGATGGTGACGCTCCAACAGACAGATGTGACAGATGATCAACCAAAAACACCAACTGAGTACGATATTTTTGACACTGTCTTTCAGAACAGTAGTCCACCCGACTGTTCTACATTGCGCAAAGTGAACACTGTCTTGGTTGCGGCCTTAGAGAAGCGTACAGTCCTAAACACACCCACTACTCAATATATCTGTCGGTTGGCTGATGAGACTGAGCGACTTAATACACGCAACTTTTTACACCAACGCGAGGCAGATAACCTACGATCAATAATACAAACACGAAAAGCACAGAGCAAAGGGAAACGCGCAATTTTAAAGGGCCAATTCCACATAACTACAGAGGAATTACGCTCCCAAGTCATTGAGGCTGAGGAGGCCACCCAGAAAGTGACTACCAAAGGCAAGAGTACAGCTGTAAGGATACAGGGCACCCAGCTCACAGTAATAGCATATGAGAGTGCGAGTCGGAGGCTAAACGGATGCTATCCTATAGGTCTACTACGAAGGATACAAAAAAGATGAAGAGAGGAATTCCCGTTGGGTCAATTGTCATACTGACATTCGTTGCACTCAGTTTGCTATCAAACTCAAGAGCAAACTTAGAAATCTCCTCCTCAAACCTACAAGTCACCATACATATCTTGGCTTATCACACCAACAACAGAAGCAATACTACTCAACGATTGCTGCAAACTCTTCTACTACATCTGTTTATGCTACATACATCACGGCATATCATTTGGACACTCATTGAACAAGTTATTAAGAAAATCTCCTCCTTAAGGGGGTGGGCCAATACTACCACATGGCATATCTCTACCAACTAGAGGCCTAGGAACATGAACGATAGCTCTAGAAGCTTCTACAACCCTCTATGATTCATTACACGTCATCGCTCCTTAGTTACCCACAAGATTGGTTAAGTTATGACATAATTTGTCTATAGGTACTCTGACCTTGGACCTCCTTTTCACTTCCTATAGGCTAGGAACCCAAGAGATGGTTCTATGGGATTCTCTTACGTTCACTACATGATTAGCAAGCTAGTTGTGGGTCGCACTTGATTTCTAATACATTTACCAAGCCTGGTTAGTCATGGAAAGTCATGGAAAATGAGAGAACTACACTCCTTTGGCATAAATAGGATTGCCCTTTCCTTAAGAAAGGGCAAGCAGGCAATACAGTAAATCGACTAGCACATACTTCTACGTCTTTTCCAAGCTTCCAAGCATTGATCTTGTTATTCTCTGTTTTTTGAAAAGTCAGTGAGGTGCTAACCTCTGACTTACCCCTGAGTTCTCAGACTCAACATTTGTTGCAACTTGTCTAAACCACTTCACCACATCATACACCTGATTGCTGCGTTGTGGAATAGTCTAAGCTACAACCCTTTGGCTCTGTTTCCTAAGACAGTGTGTTGTCTTAGTAAATTCATCCCTTCCTTGGGTGGCTAGATTCTCATATCTGGTGCACCCACCATTACATCAATCTCCTTAAGTACCCGAAACAGGTCCGACTCGGCTAACCTGCCTTCACTCTCACCACGTGACTGTGACTTGTCCGACTCAGATACCTTCCGTCACTGAGGGAGAGGAACCCCCGTTGGGTCAATCTCCTTAAGTACCCGAAACGGGTCTGACTCGGCTAACCTGCCTTTACTCTTATCACGTGACCGTAACCTGCCCGACTCAGATCCTTTCTGTCACTGAGGGACAGGCATCCTTACAACAGCGACAAATATCACTGTACCTGACCAAACTGAGAATGTCGAGGAGGATGAGAACCCAGAAGAAGTATATGACTGCATTATAGTTGAATACTAAAGTAATAATACTCTACTTTTCGCTTTCTTCGTGGTCAGTCTTCCCCCACTATCCCGTTTACGCCATTCTCCCGGTTATGCCACGACTTACGTTACAGAACGTAGGTGACCTGAGCATCCCCCCAACCTAGGCTGACCCACTCCACTTCCGGCAAAATCTCAGCTGACACCCATAAATAAATCTTCAACTTCCGACCTTCGACCTTCTGTCAACAACAGCACCAACTCCACCACGATGGGGCCCATCAAGCTTGACAATAATGTATGAATACATTACCAATGGATTGATAATTCTACTAACAACCACAACCTATAAGGCCTACAAACTCCTTGCTGAACGCCTGACTGCCCCCTTCTCTGCCTACCAATTTCACAGCATGTAACCAAATCCGTCGAATGCTCCGGCTGTAACCCGCCTTCGACCTCCTCAGAGTCGTCATGCGCCTATCATTCTGTCGTCTCGGCCATTTACAAGATGCAAGGCAGTCAGCTAGGCTGACCTGCTGGTCCTCGGCGATAGGGCGCGTCGCCGTCGCCCTGTCCAGAGCAATTTCCTGTAATGGTGGGTGCACCAGATATGAGAATCTAGCCACCCAAGGAAGGGATGAATTTACTAAGACAACACACTGTCTTAGGAAACAGAGCCAAAGGTTGTAGCTTAGACTATTCCACAACGCAGCAATCAGGTGTATGATGTGGTGTAATGGTTTAGACAAGTTGCAACAAATGTTGAGTCTGAGAACTCAGGGGTAAGTCAGAGGTTAGCACCTCACTGACTTTTCAAAAACAGAGAATAACAAGATCAATGCTTGGAAGCTTGGAAAAGACGTAGAAGTATGTGCTAGTCGATTTACTGTATTGTCTGCTTGCCCTTTCTTAAGGAAAGGGCAATCCTATTTATGCCAAAGGAGTGTAGTTCTCTTATTTTCCATGACTTTCCATGACTAATCAGCTTGGTAAATGTATTAGAAATCAAGTGCGACCCACAACTAGCTTGCTAATCATGTAGTGAACGTAAGAGAATCCCATAGAACCATCTCTTGGGTTCCTAGCCTATAGGAAGTGAAAAGGAGGTCCAAGGTCAGAGTACCTATAGACAAATTATGTCATAACTTAACCAATCTTGTGGGTAACTAAGGAGCGATGACGTGTAATGAATCATAGAGGGTTGTAGAAGCTTCTAGAGCTATCGTTCATGTTCCTAGGCCTCTAGTTGGTAGAGATATGCCATGTGGTAGTATTGGCCCACCCCCTTAAGGAGGAGATTTTCTTAATAACTTGTTCAATGAGTGTCCAAATGATATGCCGTGATGTATGTAGCATAAACAGATGTAGTAGAAGAGTTTGCAGCAATCGTTGAGTAGTATTGCTTCTGTTGTTGGTGTGATAAGCCAAGATATGTATGGTGACTTGTAGGTTTGAGGAGGAGATTTCTAAGTTTGCTCTTGAGTTTGATAGCAAACTGAGTGCAACGAATGTCAGTATGACATGATCCCCCTTTTAAGGACGTTTGTTGGCTGTCTGCTTGCCCTTTAGCCAGTTGGCTTTCTTAGAAAGAAATTCTAGAATGAGCTTAGATGCATTTTTTAGATTTCTCTTAGGCTCCCAAGTGTTGTCACTTGTAGGATAGCCTTTCCACTTAACGAGGAAGTAGTCCTGACCTCTAAGTGTCTTTTTGTCAAGGATAGACTCTACTTCATATTCTGGTTGATCCAAGATCAGAACAGGAGGTGGAGGAGACTGAAGTGGTCTTAAGGAACTTTCTTGTGCCTTAGACAAGAGAGATGCATGGAAGACATTATGGATAGTCCAAGTAGGTGGTAATGCAAGCTCGAAAGCATTCTTGCCAATAGTCCTTGTGATCTTAAAAGGTCCAAGTCTTTTAGTATCAAGTTTGTCTGAAGGTCTAGTAGTTGTGATATGTCTTCTAGACAAAAAGACTTGATCACCAACTTTGAATTGTGGTGCAACCACCCCCCTGTTAAAGGCCTGAGCCTGCTCGTCTTGTGCACGCTGTATTTGAACCTTGAGATAGTCCTGGAGGCCCTTAAGGTAGATGATTCTTTCAGTAGCAGAAGGGTTTTTGAAATTTTCAGGGCAATTCAGTTCTGCCACTTCAAACCTAGGGTGATAACCATAGTTTGCATAGAAAGGTGTCTCTTTTGTGGTGTTAGAGACTGTGTTGTTGTAAGCAAATTCTGCAAGATGGAGAAGATCTGCCCAGTTGTCTTGAGCATAGTTTGTATAAATTCTTAGATATTGTTCAAGTACAGAGTTGACTCTCTCTGTCTGGCCATCTGTTTGAGGGTGATAAGCTGTAGAGAAGCGTTGTTCCATGTTTAAGAGTTTAGAGAACTCCTTAAAAAAGTTTGAAGTGAAAACTGCTCCCCTATCTGAGATCCAGTGTCCAGGAATTCCATGATATTTAAAGACCACCTTGAGGAATAGCCACGCAAGTTCAGAAGCTGTGATAGTCTCATTGCAAGGCTCAAAGTGTGCCATTTTTGTGAGCCTTTCTACCACCACAAGGATAGAGTCATAAGGGGTAGCACCCCCTTTTGGGATAGAAGGAGGCAACTTGACTATAAAGTCAATGGATATGGAGTCCCATGGGCGTTCTGGTATAGATAGAGGCTGCAAGAGGCCATAGGGCTTTTGCCGTGTAGGTTTGTTCAAGTTGCAAGTAGTGCAAGAAGATATATAGTCTTGAAGAGTAGTCCTTAGACTAGGCCAGTAGAACTTTCTTGTTAGAAGTTCATAAGTTTTTGCAAAGCCAAAGTGCCCTGCAGCTGGAGCATCATGGAACTGCTGTAGGAGGTGTAGCTGTAATCGTTTATCCCTTGGGACATAGATATAGTTCTTGAATAAGAGAAGTCCATGCTGATTTTTTGAGAAATTCTGTAGTCCAACTTTCTCAAGAGAGGAACCTTTCTTCTGGAGGTATTCCAAAGTTCTTTTCGCAAAGGGATCATGGTTGTAAGCATCTTTGAATGCTTTAAGAAGTGTTGCTGAGGGTGTATAGTCTTTAAAGGTCTCTGGTTCCTGAGAAGAGGTAATGGGGGCAACTTGGTCTTGAGGGGATAAGTTTACCCCTAAGTCCTCTGTAGTACTAGGGTTGCTTAAAGATGCTGCTATAAGCTTTGCTGAGTCTAGCAGAGCCTTTGTATTGCTAGTTTTAGCAGAATCTTGGTAGTCATGTCTTCTTGAGAGGAGATCTGCTCTTTGATTCTTGGCCCCTGAGACATGTTTTATAACAAAGTCAAAACCTCCTAGTTGTTCAGACCACCTTGCTTGTCGTCGATTGAGCTGTTTAGTGGTTGTAAAGGTCAAGAGATTTGAATGGTCACTGTAAATAGTGATAGGATAGTTTGCCCCTTCAAGGTAGCATCTCCAATGCTTTAGAGAACATACTATGGCAAGCAGTTCCTTGTCTGTAATGGGATAGTTTTGTTCAGCTGCTGATAGCTTTCTTGAGTAAAATGCCACAGGCTGTAGCTCTTCTTGTTTGTCTTTTGGAGCTTGGTATAAGATTCCAGAAATGGCAAAATCTGAGGCATCTGTCTCAAGAGTGGCAGGTTTCAAGGGGTTAAAGTGTAGTAACATTTTCCCTTCTTTAAATTCTCCTTTAAGAGCATCGAAAGCATCTTGCTGTGTCTTATCCCAGTGATACAAAGTGTCCTTGTGAAGTAATTGAGTAAGGGGTAAAGCCAAGGATGTATATCTTGGTATAAACCTCCTGTAATAGTTGGCAAACCCAAGGAAAGACTGAACCTCTTTAATGCTGGAAGGAATAGGCCACGTTTGTACTGCTTTTGTCTTTTCAGGGTCCATCTGAATGCCTTCTGTTGAAATTCTATGTCCTAAGAAATCAACTTGAGACATATGGAAAAGACATTTCTCAAGTTTGCAAAAGAGTTGTGCTTGAGATAGCTTCTCTAAGACTTGTCTAACATGTAGAACATGCTCTTGAGTGTCTAAAGAGTATATAAGAATGTCGTCTAAGTAGACAACAACAAAGATATCCAAGTAAGGTCTTAGAATATCATTCATGAGAGCTTGGAAAGAAGCAGGTGCATTGGCAAGCCCAAAAGGCATTACCTGGTATTCAAAATGACCATAGCGTGTTCTGAATGCTGTCTTCCACTCATCACCTTCCTTGATGCGTATCAGGTTATAAGCTCCCCTGAGATCTAACTTGGTAAAGATCCTTGCTGAAGAGAGCCTATCTATGAGCTCAGGGATAAGGGGTAAAGCATATCTGTTTTTAACAGTGACTGCATTAAGGCCCCTATAATCAACACAGAGACGCAAGGAGCCATCTTTCTTCTTGACAAAGAGAATGGGAGCTCCTGCTGGTGAGGAAGAAGTTCTGATAAAGCCAGAACTAAGGTTCTCATCTAGGTATTCTCTGAGAGTTTTCAGCTCTAATTCAGATAGAGAGTAGATAGGGCCGTAGGGAGGCATTGAGCCTTCTGCGAGTGGTATCTCATGGTCATAAGGCTGGTGCTTTGGCAGAATTGATGCCTTTGCCTTGTCAAAAAGATGTTGGTAGTCTTGGTATGCTAAAGGCAAAATGACCTCCTGAGATGATTTCTCCAAATCTGAAGTAGCTGCTATCTCCAGGACAGGTTGGAAAGGTTTAACCCATATCAGAGATGATATATCGTCCATAGTTTGGTCAAAATCCTTGATCTGGGACAAGTTTGAGTCTTGGACCTGAATAGGGGTAACTGAGGCTTGAAGGGTTTTTTCAGTATTGAGCTCAGGATTTGAGCTAAACCCAAGCGATAAATGCTTCCAATTGATAGTTGGATCATGCCTTTGAAGCCATGGAAGACCTAGGATAACTGGGTACTTCATTGGTATAACATCTAAAGAGATGGTGTCTGAAAATGTTGATTTTCCTAGGGGAATCTCAAGTTTGAGTACTGGGGTGTTGCAGGTAATGGAACCTGAACTGATAGGAGTTCCATCAATGACTCGGAGCAACTCTGGAGTGCGTTTGGGAATTGTAGGTAACTGGTGTGTCAAGATGAGGTCTTGAGATATAAAGTTGCCTGTTGCCCCTGAGTCTATCATAGCCCTTGTAGACAACACCTGTTGTTTGAAATGGAGTTGAATAGGGATTAACAGGTGTGTGAGACTCTGAGAAAGCACCATCGACACATCTTTGTTGTCTAGGGGAGAAGTTATAGTCTCAGTTGAAGTTGTGCCTGCTAGGGATTTTTCAAGTTTTTCAGGAATAGCAGTTGTGACTGTGTCTGAGGCTGCTATATGTTTTGAATCAGCACTCCCCCGTGCTGAATAGCACTCCTGAATTCTGTGTCCCCCTTTGCCACAGTATAAACAAAGGTTGTTGTCCATTCTGTGTTTTCTTTCTTGAGGGGTAAGTTTACCCCTTTTCAGTTTTTGAGGGTATCCTGTAGGCTGAGGTGCTGGATTTGCTGTAGATCTCTTTATAGAGGCGTCTAAGTCCATAGGTTCAGGTGCTGAGTCCTTAGCAGTTGGTGTAGAGGTGTAATTGTTGAAATTTCTTGTTGGATGCCAGTCTTGGTTCTTCTCCTTTCTTCTTTCAAAAAGCCTATCATCAAGTCTGACAGCTTTCTCTATAAGCGTTTGAAGTGTTGTAGGGCGTTCTTCTTTGCTGAGTTCATCCTTAATAGAGCTCTTGAGCCCTTGGTAGTAAGTGAAGACTAAGGCTTCTTCATTCCAAGTCAAGTGAGAAGTGATTCTCCTAAATTCTGTTGTATACTGAGCAGCAGAGGTCTTTTGACATAGCTTCTGTAGCTCTCTTTCTGCTGTAGCAGTTTCGTTGATGTCTCCAAAGGTCCTGGTAAGTTCCTCTTGAAACTGGTCATAAGAGGTAATCAAAGGTGTAGTGGTATTTTGGTTGTTGCCACTAAGTCTTCTAAGATATGGCTCAAAGAAGTTGAATGCAGATCCACGGAGGTAGCTGGCAGCGAAATAGATCTTCTGAATGTCTGAGGTGAACTGATGAGGCCTGAGGGTGAAGTAGATGTCCAGTTGCATAAGGAATCCCTTCAACTTCCTCCTGTCTCCATGGTATAAATCTGGTGTTTGCACTTTAGGAAGTGCACCTGGGGTACTCGAAATAGCCAGAGGAGCTGTGGGAAGCTCTGTATGATGTGTCTGAGTTGAAGATTGTGTTGCTGAAGTGTTGGCTTGAAAGGTGTTTTCCAAATTCTCAAGTTTGTTTGCTATAGTTTGTATAAAGGCAAACAGTTGTTGCATCTGCTGTTCAGCAGTAGTTGTAGGAGCTTGGTCGTCCTCCATTGTAGTATCGAAGTGCTGCTATAGAAATAGTTGAAGCTTGAAGCAGGCAAGGTGTAATGGTGGGTGCACCAGATATGAGAATCTAGCCACCCAAGGAAGGGATGAATTTACTAAGACAACACACTGTCTTAGGAAACAGAGCCAAAGGTTGTAGCTTAGACTATTCCACAACGCAGCAATCAGGTGTATGATGTGGTGTAATGGTTTAGACAAGTTGCAACAAATGTTGAGTCTGAGAACTCAGGGGTAAGTCAGAGGTTAGCACCTCACTGACTTTTCAAAAACAGAGAATAACAAGATCAATGCTTGGAAGCTTGGAAAAGACGTAGAAGTATGTGCTAGTCGATTTACTGTATTGCCTGCTTGCCCTTTCTTAAGGAAAGGGCAATCCTATTTATGCCAAAGGAGTGTAGTTCTCTTATTTTCCATGACTTTCCATGACTAATCAGCTTGGTAAATGTATTAGAAATCAAGTGCGACCCACAACTAGCTTGCTAATCATGTAGTGAACGTAAGAGAATCCCATAGAACCATCTCTTGGGTTCCTAGCCTATAGGAAGTGAAAAGGAGGTCCAAGGTCAGAGTACCTATAGACAAATTATGTCATAACTTAACCAATCTTGTGGGTAACTAAGGAGCGATGACGTGTAATGAATCATAGAGGGTTGTAGAAGCTTCTAGAGCTATCGTTCATGTTCCTAGGCCTCTAGTTGGTAGAGATATGCCATGTGGTAGTATTGGCCCACCCCCTTAAGGAGGAGATTTTCTTAATAACTTGTTCAATGAGTGTCCAAATGATATGCCGTGATGTATGTAGCATAAACAGATGTAGTAGAAGAGTTTGCAGCAATCGTTGAGTAGTATTGCTTCTGTTGTTGGTGTGATAAGCCAAGATATGTATGGTGACTTGTAGGTTTGAGGAGGAGATTTCTAAGTTTGCTCTTGAGTTTGATAGCAAACTGAGTGCAACGAATGTCAGTATGACATTTCCGCTGACTGTCCCCACTCGAATTCCAACACCTACGTCGGACGTCGTCGCTCAAATTTGGTCGGAGGCTATACTGCTGAGCGTTGCGACATCTAGGAACCCCTGACAGGCATTTCTCGACCACCAACAATGTCTTGTCTCTGGTTAGCCAATATCGGGCCGCGATATTATGGATTCTGGTGGACCTCACTGAAGTGTCGGCATCATTGCGGTTGGACTAGGGTGGATGGAACACATGATAAGAAATGATTCTTGCTCATGCATGTGGGAATGTGGCTTGGCCAATGGCAAAAACACCGCACGATGGCGCAACAATGATGACGGGTTAGGCAAGGTTGCTGTGACACCTTGATTGCGTTGCATTCATGAAGCGGGGGGTTAATATGGGCTGATTGGGGTCGGATGCAGGAATCGGGAGAAGGAGCTAAGGCATGTTACGCGCTAAGATCGAATAACGTCGCTGTCGAATTCGTTTCTCCGCTTTTGAGCCACTTGAGGCTTCAGCTTACTCGTCGATGAAGGCTCGGAATGCAAGGAACAGTCTATTTTCGTCAGTCACTCCTTCGCCTGCCTGCACATAGGCAAAGGGACATAGCGGAACGCTCTGATACAGGCCTAGTCTCAGAGTCGCCGATCTGCTTTGTGGCCAGAACAGTGCCACTTTGGGGCAGCAAAGCCCAGCCTCTACGGACAGATCACTGAGCCTAGAGTCATTTTCACCAGAGTTCCCACTGTTTTGCTTCAGGACGCGGCCTTCACAGCTATCGATCCAGAAGATTGGCACACATGGGATGATTACGCCATCCAGCAACCTCATACGTAATGCCAAAAGTGAGCGAGCGGTTGGGTGACTGCCACGGTGTTCTGTAGGCTGGATTCCAGGCGTTAGCCGTAGCTCGCGAGTATATATAGGACGGGTGTCCCTCAGCAGATTGCGAGTTTATAGATCTCCTCTAATATCAAAGTTCAAGATGACTTCTATTCAGTGGGACAGCCAACAATTTTATCAACCACCACGCCCTGTGGCTATACCGCCTTCGACATTTTGGCCACCTTCGCATCCACAACCAGGTGTTGGTTCGACTCACTTTCAACCGTCTACAGCCAGTGCCCATTTTGAAGGGGTCAAGAGGACAATTACGCATGACGCAGCCCAGATGCACATGTCATCCAGTTCGGACCACGCAGAACTGCCTCTTAATCAACGTCAACGCCAATCTCTACCAGAAACAGGAGGTATGTGTCCATATTTCTTTATGACGGCAACAGCTGACCAAATGCAGAAACCACGCAGGCTATTCGATACAGTGGAGATGCAGACGTTAGCGATGCAGAGTCCGAGTTTCCTTCTATTGAAGAACTCCTATTACCAGATATAAATGGCAGCCTTAGCAGCGTCTGCGGAAACGTGACAGGTTCGGATAAACTGAAATGGGGTACAAGCCAGGGTGAGTAGCCGGAAGCCTCTAGTAATTGCAAAGCGCGTTGCTCATGTCTTTCAGATGAGCCTATCCTCCTGGACAGTGATGTGGGCGACAGTGGAGTGCTGGATGATGCTGAGAGGGAGATCCTAGTAGATTGTAATGGTGGGTGCACCAGAGGTGAGAATCTAGCCACCCAAGGAAGGGATGATTTTACTAAGACAACACACTGTCTTAGGAAAAAGAGCCAAAGGGTTGTAGCTTAGACTATTCCACAACGCAGCAATCAGGTGTATGATATAGTGGAGTGGTTTAGACAAGTTGTAACAAATGTTGAGTCTGAGAACTCAGGGATAAGTCAGAGGTTAGCACCTCACTGACTTTTCAGAAACAAGGAGTAACAAGATCAATGCTTGGAAGCTTGGAAAAGACGTGGAAGTATGTGATAGTCGATTTACTGTATTGTCTGCTTGCACTTTCTTAAGGAAAGGGCAATCCTATTTATGCTAAAGGAGTGTAGTTCTCTCATTTTCCAAGACTTCCCATGACTAACCAGGCTTGGTAACTGTAGTCGATGTAAGAGAATCCCATAGAACCATCTCCTAGGTTCCTAGCCTATAGGAAGTGAAAGGAGGTCCAAGGTCAGAGTACCCCTATAGACAGATTATGTCATAACTTAACCAATCTTGTAGGTAACTAAGGAGCAATGACGTGTAATGAATCATAGACGGTTGTAGAAGCTTTTGGAGCTATCGTTCATGTTCCTAGGCCTCTAGTTGATAGAGATATGTCTTGTGTAGTATTAGCCCAGTAACAAGGAGTGATGTCATGTAATGATCATAGAGGGTTGTAGAGATATGCTATGTGGTCATATCGGCCCAGTAATTAAGGAGCAATGATGTGTAATGAATCATAGAGGGTTGTAGCAATTGTTGAGTAGTATTGCTCTTGTTGTTGGTGTGACAAGCCAAAATATGTATAGTGACTTGTAGGTTTGAGGAGGAGATTTCTAAGTTTGCTCTTGAGTTTGATAGCAAACTGAGTGCAACGAATGTCAGTATGACACTCTGACTTATCCCTGAGTTCTCAGACTCAATATTTGTACAACTTGTCTAAACCACTCCACTACATCATACACTTGATTGCTGCATTGTGGAATAGTCTAAGCTACAACCCTTTGTCTCTGTTTCCTAAGACAGTGTGTTGTCTTAGTAAAATCATCACTTCCTTCTCACATCTGGTGCACCCACCATTACACCGTGAGTTCTGGTCACTTTTTTGCTCGCCAATGTGCAAGTCAATTCTCTTTTACAATTGACTTTATCTTTCCATTGCTCATTTTTAGACCTGTGTCTTCGCGGCGTTGCTAGAACGTGAGTTTTGGGTGTAGTCGCAAATGTAACGTTGACTTCTAAATGATAGAAGACACAGAGGTTCTCTTGCATAAAGGTTTACTTATCAGAGGAGGCAGGGGATCAGACACAAAGGCTTCAAGTAACACGTTACTAGTATATAACAAATACTGTATTGAGTTGAGCACGAAGCTCCTATCTAAGGAAATACTATCTACTTATATAGTGGCGTCGTGCCTCATGGGTAATCTGGATAGTTGGCGGATAGCTAGATATTCAGGATAGTTCGTGGATAGCTCAACTATCCAATATCCACTAGTTTCTGCAACTATCCATTAGCCCCGTCACATGGCAGCCTACCCCGCTTCCCACTGTGACTCACACGTCACGTTATGTGACTCACACGTCACGTTACTAGGCCCTGGCCCTGTAACCATGACATCATGTTACTATAGCCGTAACAGCAAATTGCAAAGCATAGTTCGACAGCCCTGTATGCTATAGAGCAATGGCCAGCCAGATCGAGGGAGTGATTTGCCGTTCTGTCTTGATTTTTCTAGTGCAATAGTGCCTCGTATAGCACCACACGAGTGTTGTGTTAGGAGCTCAATCTCCCGTGTTGATTTCCCAGCCATTTCAAGGCCCTCAATTCAACCTCTCTCATTTGGCGATAGTTCAATACCACAACCCCTTCGATTTGCATTAACAGGGCCTAACGGCATACGTGGTGTACTTGTATTGTAATTATCAAATTATACATAATTAATTACAGTCGCGGGAAATTGCACTTTTACACGTTTCGGCTAATACTTATTGTTGCTTAGTTACTGTAACTATATGATGTATAGCTCCTTGCTTTATATCTTTATAATAAGAGTTATTATAGTGTAAATATATATATTATTAGTTTATTACTAATCTGTTAAGTCTATTCTATAACTATTCTACTCTACTATGAATCACTTTATCAATTTGGCCTGTTTTATGATTCTAGGGTTGCTAGAGCAGTTAGTTTGCTAGGGTTTGCTTACGTAACCGCGTACAAATCCAGGTGTCCGCGATGTCGTTCGCTTAGTATTCGGACACCGGTGTCCGTATACTGTAACTCCATATATGAACCAGACCTTAAATAGCACCATACCAGCAGCTCAAATCCGGTTTAAGCTCTGGCCACAGGCTATAGCCACCCTGCCTGCGCCTCATTATCACAAACGATCTCTGGAAGGCGATATCTCGATGCATAGTCTCTGAATAAATGCCTCGATTTGCAAGGAACCGACTCAGCTCACTCGTGTGCGGCCAGCCTTGCAGCCATGGCGGCTCAGCCTCCCGACGAGAACATCGAGCAGATGGTTATAATGGCTAGCATATCGAGAGATGAAGCTATTCGAAGACTAAAGGTGAGCTAGAGGCTTCATGGGTTCTAAAGGTGTTTGCGCTAATCTTATAGGGCAACAATAATGATTTGAACCTCGCCTTAAATGAGTTCTTCGATAACCCGGACAGCACAAAGGTGAGAACCTACGAGATATTGAATGTTTCGGAGCCGAAGATTTGACTTTTGACTTATAGTACAACTGGGAGGAAGGCGCGTTCAAGGGTGATCGGGATGGGGCACCGAACAACAATACTGGAATATGTGCGTACACAAACTATATCATTCGCAACCCGAACCCGTGTGCTACTACCGTGTCGCCTGATCTTCTAACACACTTCTGCAGCTTTCCAGGTCCAGGGAGCTGATGATCCAGGCGGTGGAAGCTTTTATGGTGCGCCCACGAGGCCTCCGTCACGATCAAGCAACATGTCGCCTCTCGGCAGAATTATATCGTTGGATAAAGAACACGCCGCAGGTAGGCTGCCACCGAATGCATACGCGAGCTATATGCTAACCAGCCGTACCAGCTGATCCCCGAGCCACTCTAGCTCAAGACGAAATCGTTGATATCGACCTACAAAGAGCGTTGGCACAATCAGCACAAGAGGCCGGGATCCCCCCGCAACAATACGGAGTCACACAAGGGCCGGTGCAATTCGGGCCAGCGAACAAGCCCACATATGATGAAAATCAATGGGGCATGGTCCGGGGAAACAGTTCTGTCCAAGATTTTTTTCCAGATCCAGATGCTGTCGATCGGAAGAGAGAGGATAGCATGCCTGTTTTTTTGAAGCCCAGTGCAGAAAACAACCGCTTGGCGGCGATGTTGACAATATATCATGAGATTCCTCTGGTGCGAGAGATCCTTCTGGACCGGGCCAACCTAATACCTAATTATGGAAACGACCCTGGTTGGTGGGCGGGCAAAGCCATCGAGCTACCGGATTCAGCCATACCTGAATCCAACGATGTGGATTGGGGCTTGCCTACTCCACAAGACTACGACGAGTTTATTCGGGAAACTCAACGGCTGATGGCCTTTCTTGATAAATCGGATCGGAGCTACGGCTCAGCGGAACCTTTAGTGAATAATGCTGCTTTAAGACAATTCCAGGCCATCGACGCTGAGCAGAAATTCTTCGAAGCATTAAATCAAATATATTCCAAGCCCGATGAACGGGTACCCATCTCGTCTCTCTTCTCGGAGGCGGTACAGCCAGGTTTAGGCGAATCATCTCTGCAGTCGAGATATTTTGCGATGTTGGACCTCGAAATACCGCATATTAGTATAGTGGAGGACGTGGAGACACTTTATGATCTTGCCGACTATGCCCTTTGGATGATGTCAGGTCTGGAGACAAATACAAGGGCGTTTCTCAAAGAATTGGGAGAAGTAATGGCCTTCCGTATAACAGGTAACGATGATGGTAAAGGCATAAAGATACCAGCTACTTGGTATCCAGATCGCTATATGGAGAGTAACGTCGAGGCTTCTCTTGAGATGTCGAAAAGGAAGGATGCTATCCGAGACCGTATGAACAAAATATGCGCCTTAGAGAATAAGCTTACGAACTACACGTTCCCAATGCTAAAGACGGTCAAAGTTAAAGACTTGCTCGGTGCTTCAATGAAGCATGACAAAGATTTACTACCAAACAGTTTGAACGGTACTGATTCGGACTCGTTCGAGACGGAGCTGAGTTCCGAAACAAGACCGACTCAACGACTGGACATCTCTGCGGAACTTAAGAACGTGCTGGAAAGCATTGACAAGAAATTGAAAGGTCGGTTAAGATGCACTGCAGGTCAATATTTTGCTAACATTGAAAATAGCACTTACTGATGAAAAGGAGAAAGCTCGGGAGAGCCTCCGAGAACTATCCAAACTCTACACCAAACCTGACACTGAGGTTGGTCAGCCGCCAATACACAAATACACGTTGTGCGGAGTCTCGATTTCGAATCACATTACCTATGTACGGAGGAGAGCGGAACCTGATCTCATTGAAATGGATCTAGATGCAGACGGAACCGCGAAGGATGCCGATCAATGGTGGAAGATTGAGTACTCGCCGTCGGGTTCTCGGCAGGTGAATGTTGTTGTAAGAAGCCTCCACTGCGATCATATTACGTATTCATGGCTGACCATACTGTCTAACAGAAAGCCACACAAACCGAAGTACTATTTGCAGCCAGTAAAGAGACTCAATGCTGCATCATCGTGTACGCTAGCGAAGCAGCACTGGCTGAACCCCGCCGCCCGTTGCCAGAACCTCTTGAAGTCAGATACACCCTTCCCATTAATAGTGATCACCAGCTAACTGACGTAGAACTTTGTTCGCGCCGACAACCTGGCGTTCCGTGCGGAGTTTTCAACGAATCCCGAGCTAATTGATACCTCAACGGATACCACCTCGCCTCGATCGCCGCCGAAGCGAAAGTTCAACTCGGGTTCCGAGGATTCTTCAGCTGAGGATGGAAACCGAAGTCTCTGGGGGGGGTTGAACCCAGCCCCTCAGTTCAAAATAGATGGCGGCGCCTCCGCAACGACCCACGAACAGTATCAAGCAGCTTGGGATAGTACAGATGATCATTCCGAAATCAGCCAACAAAGGCAAGACGTAGTCATGGAGAAAGACGGGCAGGAGAGTGGTATCGAAACGCCACAACTTTCAGACGGGAAGTCAGTCGAGATGGAGGCAAAGAGCTGTATGCCTATGTTGATCCCTGCTTTATGTAACAGCTCTGAAGGTAGGGCTAATGCCAGCGATGGTATGGACGTTGATGACTTGCCTGCCCAGGCCTTGGATAAGGCATAAGGTTCGGGGGGCAGTGTGCTGCCAGCTGCATATATGGCGCTGGGTGGGCGCAAGCGTTACTTGTAATTTTTAGTCGTAATATAATGAAACATACGATGAACTTACCACCCCAAAATCTGAAGATGGACTATACATATAGTACTGTAGTGATTACAGCAAACGTAATTAAAATGAAGGCTCTCCATTGCTAAAGGCTATATAATTGCCATCTTACTTCAAAATAGAGCGGAGAGAAATTGCATCCGTTTAGATTGCTGGCATTAAACGAGTACAATTTTTCCCCCCCATGAAACAGCTGCCAAACGCCTTCACAAGCAAATAGACATTCAGGCCAGTGATTCTAGTGATTCATATTTATTTCATTCTTCTCGTATCTTAATCCCGCTAATATTAAAGTGTGCAGTCCAAGTGGTTCCATCCCACTCAATCGCCGCCAAGTCTGTGGCCCGATCCACGGCTCTTCCACGATTCCGGGAGCACCCCACCAGGAGCCGTAGATCCTGAAGCAGCAGCCCGCGGCGCGGCGGGCTGAAACGACGTGCCATGGGACTTGTGGCTTACAGAGATCGTCTTCGGTTCGAACCAACGGCGAACAAAGGCCGGCGTGGTCAAAATATTTACCCCTCCTCCAAACGTAGGGTACAGTCTTGTGAGAAAGTCATAGAGGTGTGCCACGAGAATTCCCGTGGCCTGAACCAATGCAGGGCTCAAGCTCCCTTTCGACACGAAGGTCATGAAGCATAGCGCCAGTGGGAGAGCACGCGTAGGGATGTCCAGGATAAATATCCGCGTTTGCCCTCCCTCATCCTGCGTCGCTGTGTAGGCGAAGGCAGTGTAAAGCGCAGAGGTCAAAATATATGGGCACCCAAAGATGGCATAGTTGACACCCTTTTGAGTGTTAGTACAGTTTAGTATAAAGCGTCGTGCTTGCACGGGCACTATGCATGGAAAGGTTTGTTTCTCTTGAAGATATGTAGGGAGCCACAACCACCCGGAGCGCGTGGGTGAATCGTCCGGGTTTTTCTCAAGGACATCCCACCATGCCAAACACCCCAACAGCCCCTAAATATTTTGCGAATGACGGGACTGTTGAGGCGAAGGGGCGATCTTCCTTGTCTTCAGGAACCGTCACCAGCTATATTTAGACTGGGCGGGCAGTATAGATAAGGTATTATTTTGTAGACGACAAAGAAAATAAAATACAATAGTAAATGAAAAGCGTGAGCCTACCAGGAGCGCTAGGCACACGAAAACGAGGTAGAAGAAAAAATCTCCTGGCTTCGTGAACTTTGACGAGCCGGTCTCGCACTTCTTCCCATATATGTACACTTATAGCATATTAGTAAAGCTCGGTGGATTGTGAACTTCGCCCATGCTCACTGTAGTATGGGTCCATCAGGATGCTAAACCTCTCATCAGTGAGCATGAAGCATGTCGCAAACCGCCACAACTGAGGAGGGAATTTGAATATGAGTGAATGATGGAAATATATCCAATCGTATATGCCTGGTACGAGGCCAGCATAGTGGGCGACGGAAATGAAAAACGTGAGCGCCGTCAGTGTTCTGTAGAAGCCTGAGTTAGCTCTGCCTTCCAGTGTCAAGAAGAAAGTAGAGCATACCTAGTCACTGGCGGCGCTGCAAAGAACATGTCCACAGCTGACATGGTTGTTAGCTTGGATGGAACCTATAGCAAAAATAAAACTATTTTGGAACTGTTGATGTTTTCGGAAGAAAGATAGAAATTGCAAGTTGTCTTTTACCATTGGAAGCTTAGTCATAAGCCATAGCTTCGGTGGATGCGGCGAAGTGGGGTTTTCTCAGCCTCATTAATAAGGTCAGACAAGGTCGATCATGGAAAGCCACAAGGGCAACACAGTTCAAAAACAGCTACACGTGAAAGTCAAACAAGAATTTGTCTCTAGATAGAATACAATATTCAATATCGTGTTCAAAACCACTTGTCGGTACCATAATGTTGAAATGGAGCAAATGCGGACCAGACCAGACGCGATTTTGCAGACTCAATGTATGGATTCTAATGTACAACATGGTCTACGTCGACTCTATAGAATGTAACACGAAGTATAATATATGTCCATATACAAGCTCTCATTTCCTTTGCGGATATGTCCCGTTGGTGGGTATTTGTTCTCTTGGACGTTGCTGGAGAATACTCCAGGCCAGTACTTGCGGCACTGAAAGGTATGCTCTATGCTCCCAGGCGCCGATATATGTTGACGCTCCACAAACTCCAAAACTCCCATCGAATTGCTGTTCCATCGCAGCTCAAAACGTGTTGTGTAAATCCATCGCGACCGTTGCGACAATGTTCCTCCACCATTTCGACCCATGTCGCCATTATATACTCGTTCAATCTCCGCCAGAACTCTGTTGCATCTCATAGAACTGGAAGGGTTATAGAGTCAGCCCCCCCTGCGGCGTGCCTGTCACGAAAACGGGTCGCCTCTCACCTCCTTAGTTTTAAAGGCTAATTTCTTGTCCTTGCTCGCCGACCTTATAATTGAAGATGCGCTCTGGTCTAGCGGCCAGTTGTTAACCCTCCACCACCAGCGTCGAATTCGTGCACCAGCATTTTTGCCAGAGAGCTTTGTGCCTCTATTCCAGTGACGCCAGCCTTGGAGAGCAAGTGTCCACATCGTGCCCTGAAGCAGAGGGAGGATTACCTGCTGTATATTAGCAAGTGTTCCTCGCCTAAATCTAGAATATTCAAGCCATAGCAACATACTTGGTCTCTTATTGTGATATATGCAACCATCTGGTAGGTCTCCGCGCCCGCAATGCTAGCTAGATAGCTCTGTTCGAATCGGAGATCCGGAAGCGGAGGGAGTGACTGCCGCCGGCGTGCTGGGCGGATAATATTATATGAGTATTCTACTTCATCGTCAATATCTGAGCCGGCAAGCGACGAAGAATACGACTCGGCGTCCAGAGTTGTCTCCTCGAGCGTCACGGGTATTTTTTCTGAAGCGGCAGTGCTCGGGTTGATATCATGGGTCGTAGAGGGATTGCGATTGATGGAGAGACTTTGTAATGTCTCTCCAATCTCGAGCGGTAGATCTGAAGACATTCTCAAGTCGCTATGCCTGAAGTGCCGATTGGGGCGATGATTGAGCTCGGGTGAGTTCTGCTTGTTACATGGCTGGAACAACTGGGACAACCTTCCCAGCTCTCGGAAGTTACCGAGCGCGTCACCAAAGCTATCACGTGATTTTCTGGAACAGCTTAAAGAAATATAAAACATTATGTATTCCCAATGATGGTAATTATGATGTTAGGTCGTTTAAGTTCATTCACTATGATTGTTAAATCGTGAAATAACTCATAATAATTCTATAATTACTGAATTATCCACGGTTTGGATAACGTGACGATGGAGGGGCTATCTATCAACCAGTCGTTTCCCATGGTCCATCAAATAAACAAGCCACCATAGCGCCCATAAATCCTTTTCAGATACAGTCAATACTTTGGTTTCGAAATCTCCATCTTGCCGTATATAGGGTCTAATATATCAAAGCACTAACATCGTTCTACTATCAGCGCCATGGGTTCCCACCCTCCTTCTGTATCTGTAACGCACCTTTCCTACACATTCCCAAACTTCGCAACTGGGCTTTATCACGTCTCGCTGAACCTGCCTCCGGCGTCACGGACTCTACTCATTGGACATAACGGGAGTGGGAAAACCACATTGCTAAGGTGGCGCATCGCCCAGACTTCTTAGAATTCTAATTGCTAACCACGTTCGTCAGACTTCTCTCTGGCAAGCGCCTTGCACCACCCGGCACTGTCAAAATCGGCGGCTTGGATCCCTTCAAAGAACATACCGACGGCGTCACCTACCTCGGCCTAGAATGGGTCCTAAACCCCATTGTGCGCACCGACATTGGTGTCAATGAGCTCCTCAAGAGCGTGGGTGGAGACCATTACCCGGATCGCCGCGATGAGTTGATCAACGTCCTGGATCTTGATACAGAGTGGCGCATGCATGCTGTCTCTGATGGCGAAAGGCGCCGCGTGCAATTGACCATGGGCCTAATCCGACCATGGCGCATTCTGCTTCTGGACGAGATTACAGTCGACCTGGACCTGCTCACACGGAGCAACTTCCTCGGCTTCCTCAAGAGGGAGACGGAAACGAGAGAGTGCACGATCGTGTATGCCACGCATATCTTGGACAACCTAGCGGATTGGCCTACTCACCTAGTGCACATGAGCGGTGGAAAGGTCAAGGACTGGGGTCCAGTTGAGAAGTTTGAAATCGAGCGGACGACAGCGAATACAGGGAATAGCAGATTAGGAGAGCTGGTCTTAAGATGGCTGAAAGAAGACTTGAAGACCAGGGGCCCTCGGAGAAACCAAGGCAGCGAAGGCACGGCTTACATGCAAAGTGGCATGGGTGGATATGGAGCAGAGAAGTACCAAGACAAGGAGTAGGCGACAGGCCCGTCAGAGAAGTCGCAATAAAGCTGGCCGTATATATTTCGGTTGCGATGCAATGTATAGGGGGGTGGTACTGGCTTGCATAAGATGCATTATACCAGCAGACTTCGAAGTTTCAACATCGAACGGGACTCGGAGTTTCAACATTAAGCAGTGTATAGAGTTCAACACTGAGCATGACATGGAGTTCAATATAGGGTATGGCAGGGAGCTTAACATCGGGCTGGGCCAGGAGTTCAACATAGAACCATCATTGGCCATTTAGCGTACAGCAACAGCGTTGATACTTTCTCTTCAGGCTGGAGTATTCGGATCACTCTGTGGCTATTTGCTTGCCCTTGCAGAAACTCGGATGAACATTTCAAAATTTCATAACAATTACGGTCATGGGAAAATTAGGGCCTGCACTGTGCGCGTTGTTGGGGGGTTTCGTTGAGTCTCTATTTTTATTCTATAGGCCTATCAAGGCGACGCCGATAACAACCTTCCCAACGACAAGACTCTCAGTGAACAGTCCTCGCTCACCACTGCCAATTCGAATTCCTCCTCCTTGACATTTGTAGTTTCGCTTATGGGCTTCCACGAGAGTTGCGTTATTGCCTTAGCGGGACATAGACTGCTTCTAATCAGCTCCATGCTCATATTGCTTTGATGGATGACATACCTTGCGTCCACATCGACCTTCTTCATTACCGTTGGATCCGTTAGGCTTATTAGGTATAAAACAAGTCTTCCAGCCTCAGTGCCAACTGCGAGCCATGCACGGTTATCTTGCAAAAGTGCACCTGCGAAGTCTATGGCTGTGACAGGGCCATCTTCTTTGATACTTGAAACGTGCGCGTAACCACCCTCGGCACTACCTTCTCCCCCCTTCGCCCAGAGCTTAACCTGCTTGTCTCTCCCCGCTGTCGCGAATATGTATTCCGGGCCAGGTGCCCACGCCGCATCCAGAATCATCCTCGAATGCCCCTTTGGATCTGCGTATAATAACTTATATTCGTTTCCGCCTTCCGAGGCGCGCTCGAATATAGCCCATTGACGATCACGGCCGACACTGAGAAGCAGCTTATCATCCGCCGAGAAACGGAGACGCGCCACGGTCAGAGAGTGTGCCGTGAGCGGAGGGCTGACTTGGTTCCACGTCTTCGTGTCGAAGAGGCGGATAACTGCATGGTCCAGCGAACTGGCTTTACACGCCGTGGCGACAAGAGACCCGTCGTGGCTAGCAGCAAGAGCAGAAATCTCATAACCGTGGCCGTATAGCTTTTCGATCTCAGGCCACAGCGTGTTCCGTGACAAGTGGTCCTCGAGGGGCGGGTGGTTCATAACAAGCGTGGACTTGTGCACGGCAGTCGCGGGGTGGAGACCTTCTCGGTCATGCTCTGACGGTTTTTCCATTTCCTGGCCATCGTCCATCGCTTCTATGGCTTTGTTGGAGAGACCCAGGACAGGCATATTTGCGGCGTCTGGCATAGCTTGCACGTTGTCACCCTCGATGCCACAGAGGTCTTGGAGGAGCTTCGCCACAGCGCACGGCTCGCTGAAGACACGCAGGAGTTTCTCGTCGGCCCCGCAAACAAATTGGCTTTCTCCTAGACTATCGATGCAGTTCAAGTCATAACCGTGAATCTGCGGCCTGGCCATTTCGTGCCATGTAGGTTCTCCTCCACCACGAATCCATTTCGCATGAAGCCTTGTGGTCTGATCTGAGCTAGTCGAGAGGAGGTAGTCTCCACGTCTTGACCAGGCGATGCCAGTGACGGAGCGGATATGACCTCCCACGCCGAAATTGGGCATCCATTGATCGCTCTCCGGGTTCCGATTCCACAGTCGCCAACTCCCGGTCTTGCCTAGGCAGACAACCGTATCCCCATTTGGCGACCAAAGACCATTCCAGAATCCACCAGTGCTACCAGTAGCTGTCGTTGAGCCCTTCTGCGCGCTGATCTCGCCGAGTCTGGTAACGCTCACCCAAACGCTTGAACTCGGGTCCTGTTCCCAGATTGACAATGAGTTGTCCGCTGAAGCAGACAGGAGCTGTAAGATGCTTTCTCTTCGCTTCCAGGCAGTGCTATAGATCCAATCTTCGTGTCCTAGGAGCAAAGCCTCAAAGGTTGCACTGTAGTCTTCACTCCCTGCCACAAACTTGTGGGCCTTGTTTGAAAGCGACTTCCCTGGAAGAAATGCACCAGCTGCAGGGTCTGCGCCCGCCGCCGCCACTGCTGGCAGCTCTTTTCCTTTATGGATGCGCCATAATCGTATGTACTTATCCTGGCTTGCAGATGACAGGAGAAGATCGCTCTCAGGCTTATCAGTCTCGTTTGTGAAAGCCAGTGACCGAATCCATCCTTCGTGGCCTGTTAATGTTGTTTTTAGCTTAAACTCCGGGCTCGCTTTTGGCGCTGGGTCAGCAACGTAGAGTTGCACTATTGGGCTCGTGCCGGCAACTGCTAAGATGTAGGAGCCAGGTACTCCGTTCAACGGGCTTAGGGCGAGTGCCAACGAGAAGAATCGAGGTTTGGTACTGATGCTCTGTACCAGCACGAAGTTTTGAGTTTCAGTATCAAACTCCCAGATCTTGAATGTTGCATCGGCAGATCCGCTTGCAGCAATGTTTGAGTTGGGGGAAACGGCAATGCAGTTTATGGAACCTTCGTGCTGCTCCAGGATCTGTATGCATTTGAAGTCACCTCCACTGGCTGCTGCACGCCATACTCTGATCGTTTTGTCCACAGAGCCTGACAAAAGTAGAAGGCCGGCCGTGGTTTCCATGAACTTCACGACATTCACCGTATCGGTCTGGCCAACAAGTAACCTTGTCACTCCATGGTGACCTCCCTATTTCTGCGTAAGTAAATTCCTAGAAAATATTCTATGTATATCTCGGTACGGCCAGTTCTCCTCCGGATATATAAAGCAGTAGCATTGCGTTTGGGGATGGTCCGCTCAGATAACCTAAATATTAATCCCGCGAATTCGCAGCACTGCAGCATAAAAAAGATCGAGACCCCATATCTGACAACAAGAAGATGTAAAATGACATACCTGTGGATTCCATATCGCAATATTCCTGTCTGCCCCGTAAGCTAAGACCTCGCCATGCCAGTCTGCTGCGGCAGGGTGTCTATTCGCCCCAGCTACCACATATTCGGCCATGGTCTGGGCCAACGTATGAGGTCCAATAGATCTGTATATATTATTACGGCAATATATTAAATTCGATATGCCATTCGAGCTTATACGGAATAGTTCTGGGTCGTACAGTCATGTGTTGTGGTCGTTCTACGTCATGTGAATTATATGGAGGTTAAATATTTTTCGGCAATTTTGATTCGTTTCGTGGTTGGAATGATAAATCTCGAAGTTTTATCATAAAATAGCCCAAGCAAATAAAAATACCATCACAACAGCGGTTACAAATACAATAAATAATAGATCCTAATTGTCTTATACGTCGTCACTTGTGTCTGTGCATAGTCATATGTCTCGATTACTTGTATTGAGGTCTATACCAACACTATAAACTACGAAGGTCCATCTTCAGCGTTCAATATCATCGCTGTCTATGCAATATAAACCACAACCAGTCGGATTCCGTTATAATGCCGTAATTTTTTAATGTCCCCATAATCTACTGCCCTCCTTGACCAACATTGATTGGGTACGGAAATGACTGCGGTTTTTCAGGGCTCCCGCGATATGCCAAAGTTGGCGACAAGTGACTAGGCGTATCTCTCTGGCCGTTTGTCGCCGCTGCCCCATTCGCAACTTCAGCAGCAGACTCGGGCTGGGGCGCGCCTGGAACCTGCTGGGTCGTTGTTGAGGCAGAGGCACCGTTGCCACCCTCTCGTAGCTCAGGTGATTTGTGGGTAGGTTCGGATGCAATTGGATCCATGGGATTCTTTGCTGGGGAGAGCATCAATTGGACTGTTCGCTTCTTCTCAGGTGTTGGGGTCTTGATGGGTAAAGACACAACCAGGCTCTTCTTGGCATCAAGTTCATCAAGTTCGTCAACCATGTCAACATCATCATCGACAACCTCGTCATCGTCATCTTCTTCCCCCTTGCTTGCCAGCGAGACAACATCGTCTTCCTCTTCGTCATCTCCATAATCTTGCTCACTCGCTTCATCTTCATCGTCCATATCATCAACGGAGTTATACCCTTCAATATTCCGACCTCCCTTTCGCGAGCTGCTGTCTCTACTTACCGCTGCCGCACGTCTTGATGAGCGGCCGTTTATACTATCATCCTCCCCTAGGGAATCGTTGCCTCCATCATATCCACCAACAGGAACGCCAGGCCCTTGGTTGCTACCGGTCATGCTTTCGCCATACGCGCCACCAAGACGAGAACGGACTTGCCGGCCACTTTGAGTAACAGTTGGCCCCGCCGGTTCAGCAGGCGTGTAGGTGCCTGTGTTCCTAGTAGACCGCCTTGTCGTGCTATCCGAATATATATCGTCGTCATCATCTGAATATGTGTACTTGATTCGTTTTCCACGCGTTCGGCCTTCGTACATAGAAAAGTTTGGTTCCGGTCGCTTGAATTGTTGCTTGCGAATTTGACGATATTCGCGTCGTTTGCGTTTCTGTGAAGTGAAGTGTTAGCTTATGGGGGTCTACAAAATTTGCGCGAGCCTCGGAGCTTGAGAGGTTGCGCTCTGGAATATCCCTCAAATAACGTACCTCTTCCGTGGCTTCGAATCTTGGGATTGCCGCAGTCATCTTGGCACTCAGTCCTCTTGCCCTTTGCCCATTATCTGCTGTACCTAGCTTCTCAGCAAGCTGCTTCAGCTCTTCGATATCACCCGCGACACTCCACCAGGTCCGCTTCAGCCCCGCAGGGTTGCTTTCGCGGTAGACTCGGAAAGCGGTATCATCCAACCCCTCGATTAGGTAGTATCGTCTTTTATAGCTGTCAGAGCCCCAAGGTTGGACCGACAGGGGTTGATTAAGATCATCCTCGTGCCTGCTTTGCTTATAGGATGCAGCTATGATGCCTTTCACAGCATCTGATGAAGATAACGACCAGAGGATAAGTGTTCGCAGGAGAGTAAGACGTTCTGTTGGACCCATTGATGAGAAGGTTGCCCCTCCAAGCAATGGGTTCTTGCTCTCCCAGTCTTTCGCCCATTGTGATTTGTGTGTCTGTACAGCTTCTTCGAGTGCGCGGTTGTAGTGGCCAGCCTTGACATCTTGCTTGCGATTGAGGAGCAGGCCCAGGAGAGCGCAGAGGAAATGCTCAACGTGCTCTCCTGGTACTGTATCTACAACGCCGCGCTCAAGCTCTTGAGGTCCGAAGTTGGCGAGAGATTTGGGGAAGGCTTCCGTGAACCGCGATCGGAACATGACGATGAACTGGGACAATATAGTTAGCAAAGTCCACTGACAGCACTCTACGCGACATAACGTGTATATCGACGCGTAAACCGCGATGTATAGTGGGAAAACATACTGCAATGTTGGGATTGTCTGCTAAGACATATTCGTGTGGTGGTGAAGGCTCTCTCTCTGGTGGCGGAGGGGAAGAGTCTGCCTTTTTGGGTTTCTCGGTTTTGGGGTTGACTTTGGAAAAGAACTTCAGTATTCCTCCCTTCTTCTTTAGCTGCAGATCGCTTTCATCCTCAGAAGGCACAGATGAAAGCTCTGAAGAGTCGTTTGACATCATGATGCTGATGTTGTGGTGTGGTTAAGAAGTTGTGGTCGAACGCGTGCGGTTATGGCGACGACGTGGCGTAACGCCGGAGCTTGATCGTCCTTAACTGAAAACAAGGCTGTGAATCAAGCTAGAAATGGTCAATGAACCATTATCCAAACTGTTTCACGACTTTCAAGATCAATTTGGCTTTGGAAAGACAGTCAGATGCAATCAGTTTCATTTCCAACTGTATAATTTTCTATTGGAGCTGGGCTCTTGCATGGTAACGTCATCACGTGGTGTAGATCTGACCAGCCCAACATCAAACAGCAGCAAGATCGCTGTTGAATAATAAACTTAAGGTTTTGCTGAGTGGGAAATCTGGCAATGAGGCCACGAGGGGATCATTGCTGGTTTCCATCCGCGGCGAAGACGATAAACTATATATTCTTTGGTTAGATATTCCATAACGATCCTCACAAAACTGGTAATTCCCATTGACCATATGCTTGACTCCCAGCAACACATTGATTGAATCTAGGCTGGTTTTTCTAGCCCGGGCCGGCTTTAAGCTTTAATTGGTTCTGATTTTCGTCGTAGCCTAACAGACGACGCTTATGTCTGGATCAACGAGGTGGCCACTGCCGCGTAGGGTGCTGGAAAACAGTTACAACTTGCCGATGAGGCGGTTGGGTTTTGAGGATTTCGTGGCACCAATGCCAACGCCAAGTATCTCACTCGCGCATCGCGATCACAGGAGAGCCTTCGAAACCCGGATGCTATGTGAAGTAAAGAGGTGACCAGGAACAGCATGAACGTGTAAAGTACACAGTGTTCTTCGGCTTAAGGCTTGTGAATAAATAAACATTCAATGAGTCTCTCGGTGAGTTATCAGAGATTCTGGATAAACATGCCTCTCGGCCAAATTATGCCCGTCGTCACTTAAAGTTTGCTTAGTCATCTAAGGGCGTTCGCGTGTGGGTCCAAAGTTGATCCTAAGCGTACCCACCTCTCATTGGCCAACGCTTCGCTTCGAAAGTTCGCGCCCACACAACCGTTGTTGTATGTTGAAATATTCAAGGTCTTCCCTTTTCTCAATCGACTCGACCACCAACGACAACGACGACGACCGCCAACAAGTCTCGTCAACAGTAAGAGACACTTACACTCACAGGACATGTAATACTTGCTAACATACACAAAGTGGGACGAGTTATTCGCAACCAGAGGAAGGGCCGCGGCTCCATTTTCACGGCGAATACCCGCCTGAACAAGGCACCGGCACAATTCAGAAACCTCGATTATGCTGAGCGTCATGGATACATTCGCGGCATTGTAAAGGACATCATCCATGACCCCGGACGTGGTGCGCCTCTTGCCAAGGTCGTTTTCCGCGACCCATACCGATTCAAGCTCCAGACCGAGACCTTCATCGCCAACGAGGGCATGTACACCGGCCAGTTCATCTACGCCGGCAAGCACGCTGCTCTGACCGTCGGAAACATTCTCCCAGTCGGCTCCATCCCCGAGGGTACCGTCATCTCCAACGTTGAGGAGAAGATCGGTGACCGTGGTGCTCTTGGACGCACTTCCGGAAACTACGTTACCGTTATTGGACACAACCCAGATGAGGGCAAGACCCGCATCAAGCTCCCATCCGGATCCAAGAAGGTCGTTCTCAGCAGCGTCCGTGGTATGATCGGTATAGTTGCTGGTGGTGGACGTACCGACAAACCTCTCATGAGTACGTTTTTTCTCTTAGCTTGTTCCAGTATAGACAGCATGCTAATACCCATTTCAGAGGCGTCGCGTGCTAAGCACAAGTTCGCTGTCAAGCGTAACTCTTGGCCCAAGACTCGTGGTGTTGCCATGAACCCTGTCGACCATCCTCACGGAGGTGTAAGTTTTCTACGGCCCCCAGTTTCTCAAGGTTGTACGCTGACACATTTTAGGGTAACCATCAACATATCGGAAAGGCTTCCACCATTTCGAGATACGCCGTCCAGGGACAAAAGGCCGGTCTTATTGCTGCCCGCAGAACTGGTCTGCTCCGCGGTACCCAGAAGGTCAAGGATTAAGCGTTGGGCTGTTGGGATTTCATTTAGTTTCGGACAAGGCTGGCTTAGCATTATGTACCTTCAATGGAGCACAGCGAGGACGAAATAAAGATTTCAAAATGACTGATCCTGTGTGATGTGCCTGGTGCAGGCTTGTGCGTAGGGTTTTCCTCAGCTGAACTTCATTGGTGTGGGCTCACTTCATGAGACATATTGCGGGTGCTTTGAGAAATAAGAAGAGCAACGCACATAGCTGGCCACTTTCCCGTTTAGCATTCATGTCGATCGATATTCACTTCACGGTGTTTTGTAAAGAGCTTGGAGATTTAAATGCCGTAATAGTTATATGCTCCAAAGGAGCCCACACAGAGTGACATATATCGCAACAATATCGCGATCTACGATACGGGGGTTTATTAACAAAACTACTAGCTATCCCTACTTTGAGGAATATATAGCATCGGTGAAGTTCGGGGCTTAGCATTGCATATGTTCCCGACTGCGCTGCTTGTGCCCACGGGTGCGATGCGGGATCGGTGTACCCTCTCAATAAGCTTGGGACAACGATAAACGAGAACTCCCCCGCCTTCCCTTTCATCCACTTTAACAATAAACAACCACCAAAAAACCAACCCCTCATTACCACAACCGCAACAATGGCTGCCACCAACGAATACTCCCTTCTCTGCTTGGAGAACCCCCTCCTTGGTATGAAACCGCTTCTATGATAAAAGTAACAATGGATTGAGGATAAGCTAATTAGACTAGACATCCAAGCTACCGGAGACCAAGCTCTCCTTGACAAGTATGGCCTGAAGGAGAACGATGCTATTCTTGCCGAAGAGAAGCATCTCGGACTTTACGAGGACCTCCTAACCAACTTCGATGCCAAGCTCATCGCTGGCGGCGCAGCCCAGAACACTGCCCGTGGCGCACAATACATCCTCCCCGAGAAGTCGGTTGTCTACATTGGCTGTGTCGGTAACGACAAGTACGCCGCTACTCTCCAAGAGGCCAACAAGCAGGCCGGTCTCCGTGTTGAGTACCGCGTCGATGCTGAGCATCCAACCGGACGTTGCGGTGTCATCATCACCGGACACAACCGCAGCATGTGCACCGACCTTGCCGCTGCCAACCACTACAAGATTGACCACTTGAAGCAGCCCGAGATCTGGAGCTTGGTTGAGAAGGCCAAGACCATCTACGTCGGCGGTTACCACTTCACCGTCTGCCCTGAGGCTATCCAGGCCGTCGCCGAGGAGTCCGCCAAGGACAACAAGACCTTCGTCGTCTCCCTCTCCGCCCCATTCATCTGCCAGTTCTTCAAGGAGCCCCTTGACAAGAGCGCCCCATACTGGGATGTTGTCATCGGTAACGAGGGCGAGGCTTTGGCTTACGCTGAGAGCCACGGTCTCAAGACCACCGACATTGCTGAGATCGCACAGCACCTGGCCGACCTGCCAAAGGAGAACACCAAGAGGGAGAGACTTGCCATCATCACCCAGGGTACCCTCCCAACTATCGTCGCTACCCAGGGCAAGGGCACCAAGTCTTACCCAGTTCACGCCATTGACCCCAAGGCTATCTGCGACACCAACGGCGCTGGTGATGCGTTCGCCGGTGGTTTCGTTGCTGGTCTTGTCCAGAACAAGTCTGTCGAGGAGAGCGTCGACATGGGCCAGTGGTTGGCCCGCCTTGGTATCCAAGAGCTTGGTCCTTCGTGAGTACACATTTTCATATCCCTAACTCCTTACATCGCATATCAGTCTACATCACCAAGCGTATGGTTGCAACAGATTGTCATTGTTATACTATGAGAGCCACTCAATATCCCTATTGTAATGAACATTGCTAACCACTGCACGTCCCAGATACCCCTTCCCCAAGCAGACCTACACTCGTTCTGCTTAGATTAGTCCATTCATTCTTTTCACAGTAAATGCGACGTTAAAGAAGGGCAAGCCATGGATTTCAACACCGGGGGGCGCCTTCGGCGTAGAGCAGATATGACGATGCCATGAATAGTTATGATCCTCCACGATCAGGCATAGCCAGGTACAGAAAAAGTCAGCTATATAGAATAAGACAGGTGTCAATCTGACTCTTGGATTTCTATGAACGCATATTGGCAGTGACTCGTTACCGAAGATGTATGGCATGGTTCATGTGAACTATTGCCTCATGTCGACGTTACGCTTATCGTGAGTATATGCTATAGTTCGGTACAGATATAATGTCCCTCGATAGGTGACACTTCCAGTCATATGGCTCAGCTGCCTTGACCACTTGGTGGTGTTGGGTCGTTGCGAGAATAGGCTGCTGGCTGGCTGCCGTTCCAAGCGGAACTCTGAAGCATAACTTGCTTCTCATACTCGCTTCGTGGTGCATATCCTGGTCCAAGCTTTCGTGGAAGGTTATATGGCGCCTGGTTGCCGTTAACACCAAGATGATCAATCGGGGTGTTCTGGTAGATGCTACTACTGTTCGAAAACCCCGATGGCTGATACCGTGCTTCCAATGACTGCTGCAGTTGCTGAGCGGCATTGAAAGACGGTCCACCGCGTGGAAAGCTGGTATTGGCAGTTGAGGGGGTTCTTTCCCAATTGCTATGAGGCGTAGAGCTGTTACTGCTATGTTGGAAGGATGCCATGGGAGCGTAATTTTCTGGGCCCATGCCTCTACTAACTGGTGGTCTTTCATGTCCTGAGCCCTGCAATTCTCCGGGACGGGGCGAGAAAGGCGAAGGCGCGAATCCGGGGAAACCCGATATTCTAGGAGGAGTCGGCTGATAAGGTTCTTGGTTCATGCCTTGAAAAGAAGCAAAGACTTCCAATGCGGTATTGCTGTGCATCCCATAAGAAGTCTCAGCGCTTCCGTTGACATTGCCATCTGCGAACATCTTGGATGGAGTCACTAGGTCATCGACCATTTGATACATATCCGTTGATAGGCTCTGATGAGATTCGGATGGATCGACGCTTGGAGGTCTCTTGAACTCACTGTTCAGCTCCGATACACGGTGATGCTCGCTGGTATAGCTGAATCTCGAACTCGCTTGCGTCCCCAACTCGGACGGTTGTGTCATTGGGCTTGCATCTTGCAGCGTTGACGGGGGGCCATCCTCAAAAAAGCGGAATTGGCCATCCACTGCGTAAATGGGGTACTCAGTATTCGTAGCGAGAACCATGCCGTCTCTTAGAATTTCTCGAATCCTCGCCATCATTTCTACATTCGGATGATGACGCTCAACTCCTGGATCTGTGCTTCGCTTCTTCAGCTTATCTTCACTATCGGTGTATAACCTGCAAAGAGTGCTGTCCCGGAAAGGTTTAAATCCAACAGTGGCAGAGTCTTCCTCCAGCAAATAATCAATGTCGGGTAATTCGGCCACAGGAAACACTGCAACAAGCAGGCTCAAGGTGGTGCAGTACATGGACCACATCTCCTTAATGTGAATGCATATGGGTGCGGTTCCCACTTGAGCGGTAATAACTGGGGCTGTGGCCACCAACCACGTGCTGTATTGACGCAGTGCGGGTAGGATTCGGCGAGTTACCGCTGTAATGGACTCGGCAGAAGTTTGCTTTTCTTTTCCAGTTACGTCCGGGGCATTGTGGCCATGATTGGCGTCATCAAGCTCTGGTTGTAATAGTTGAAGAAGCATAAACAGCATCCTGACATTAAGCCGGAGGTAGAAGTAGTATGCTTGGACGCATCTTTCACTGGCTTCATCACCTTCTGCTTCTGAGTTTTTGTCAGTTTATATCAAATGCTGTAGTAGGGGTTGCATTACCTGCAAGTCTTACACCAGCAAAATATTCTGCGGCAATGTTGATAATAACAATCCTGTCCAGAATATTTTCCAGCGATTGTTCTTTAAGAAGAACGGTCATTTGACTCAACACTTCGTTCTCAAGTTCATCGTGGTTGGGGAACTCTTCTCCTTTGTACAACTGAGCATGAAGGCGGACAAACCATAATACCATACCCGCAGCAGGGTTACCGACCGGCGAATCTCTCTTTTGACCCGGTCCGAGCCATGTTGTGGTAATCTTTTTAAATTCAACCGCGAGGTTTGACTGCGCCAATGGATGGGGCTCCTTCACTGCCAACGCACGATACAGGTAGTAGACGGCATCCAAATGATTGCCATCCGCCAGCGAGATGACTGCCATTTGGTTAAATGCGCTTCCCGAGTCTGGATATAGGTCATTCGCAAGCCTATAGTGAGCGTTGGCCTTCTCCCAGCTACGATCTTTCGTATTGAGATCATTGCGGTATCGGTATAAATCGCCGAGTCGAAGAAGGGTTGAGTGGCATGACAGGAGGATAAGGTGCTTCAGATCTTCAGAGACTTCCACGGGAGGATCAACTGAGAGTGTGCTAAGTGTAAGCCGGTGCGCTATTATGCGCAGCTCCTCGAGGCCATCGACGTGGGATGCCAGCCGTTGGATGTAGCCCTTATAGTAGTATTGGCTCAGCTTGAGAAAATCAGCATATCGCTTCTCCCATTTCCGTCTCTCGACTGTAATTCTTTTCTGTTCGGGGCTTTTAAGCCTGGCGACAATTTTTCGGTATCGTTTGTTGATCGAGCTATGTGCTTCCCAAAGAGCAGTTTCCACACCCTCCGCGATGGCGTATTCGAAGTCAGCGAAGATAGTGGTCTCGCATGCAATGCGCAACCTTGTAGATTATTTAGTTTCTGTCTGTGAACGAATAAGAGGAGGGCCATACTCCGATATCAGATCCTCAATATCGCCTATCAAACTTTCCCTCTCTTTCAGTTTCGCTCGGAGTTCTCGATGGATTTGTTTCGCAGCACTGGCCAAATTGTCAGCAAATATCCAAGTAAAAGCAAGTCATACATAGAATGCGCTATATACTTACTGCCATTGCACCTCGGCATTGGCTGCCATGTTATCGTTATCTTGAGAGATCGGACTATGGCCGGCCCCAGATGCCTCTGGACAAAGTGATGGAATGGGTAAAAGCCATTAGCAGGAGATAAGTTGAGGTTCTCAGTCCGATCAAAGCCGCTGAAAAGAACAAATGCAGATGTAGGCAAGACAAGAGCGTTTTGCTCAGTGAGTGAAATTTTGGGTGGTGGAAATGCCGCGGGCGCATTTGTATATCTCACTTTTCCTCGAGATCGGTGGAAGCAAAGTAACGCGCAAGGTTGCCGCACATGTCCCACTTGAGGCTTGGCGAAATATAGTGCCCAAAGCGACACTAGTTCTAACCTGGGACCACCCTACAAACGCAACTCACAAGGCTGAAATGATTAACGATACCCTCGATTTGTTGCAGACATTAACGATATAAACGACATACTGATACCCTGACAACTACCACACAAGATATTGTGTCTTTCTCCAGAGTAACTTGAATTCTCGAGCAAACCTAACCATACAGCATTCCGCAGACAGAAAGTCAAGAAGCTAGCTGGCTCAAGTGCTGAGGAGAGGGATAAAGCCCACCAAGTAACTACCCCACTATCACATATTGAAGATGGTCAAACGCTCACGAGAAGACTCTGATCCCCCGCCACTCTCCGAGTATAACGATTCCATATATGCCACAGACAGTTCTGGGGCTTCTCCACATCCAACAGACCCAAATGCCTACGAAGCGGTGAAGATAGTACATCTCGACCCCGAGTACAGCGGAGCAGCAACGGTTGGAGTGATGAGATGCTCTTTACCAGGACACCGACCAGACCTCTCATTTCACTCCTTTGACGATTATGAAGTCCACTACAGCAAAACACACGTCAACCGCTGCGTCGAATGTCGGAAAAACTTCCCCACGGAGCACTTCCTGAGTCTCCACCAGGCAGAGAACCATGATCCCCTCGTTGGGGTTCTTAGGGACCGAGGTGAACATACATATGCATGCTTTGTCGAGGATTGTGATCGGAAGTGCTCTACTCCTCAGAAGCGTCGTTTACATTTAATCGACAAACACTCGTTTCCAAAAGAGTACGAATTTTTCGTCGTCAATAATGGCATCGACAGGAAAAGCTCCATGCTCCGTTCTGGCAGACATAGACGAAGGAGCTCGATTATGCAACAGAAGATCTACAATGGGAGCCGAGGCCGAAATAGGTCAGGGAACATGGAGACGGACAATACGGACGAGGCCCCCGAAACAACGACGGCAAATACTGAAACCGATGGTGCTACCAGGCACGACGTGGCAAATTCTGCCCACGGAAAGGCCGCTGTTCCGGAGGATGGTGATGATGATGCGGAGATTGAGGGTCTTACAGAAGCAATTTCCGCACTCCGATTTGTGCCACCGAGTGTGAAATTCGGCAGAGGGAGAGGCAGGGCTGGTTTTAGCAAGAGCTGACTGACACCATAAAATCACCACGGACAAATATAAAACAACGACAACTTGATACGTAACTCAGCCATAACCCTCGCGCAACGTTTCTATTACATCAAGCGACCGCTTCCCGTATAAAGAAACTAAATAAAGTCAAGTCATTCCATGATATCGATACCCATCACACCGCGTATCTCATTCCACATTAGAGTATCATGTGCATACTCTGTTCTTCTTATCGCCATTGATTTTACTGTCCCCACTCATGTGTGATTGTCGGAGCCGAGCTCCACTTGCAAGAGCGGATGTATGCAGCGCATGCTGGTAAGCGCTTACAGTGTCTTGTCCGAGGTAGCAGACGCAACCTTTGAGCGAAGGTTGGAAGCAGTCGACTGCTGGAAGTGGCGCGAGAAAACGGGCTGGAAGAAGGAGCGGAAGATGAGTTGGGCACCACTGCTTCTGTGTTAGTGACGACTCAAGCTCTGAGAATTGGGAAACAGGCATACCCAGTCTGGGGAAGCGCAAGCCAGAGGGTGAAGATGAGCTTGAATGTGTAGTAGAATGGGAACCAGTAAATAACGGAGATCAAGCTCTCAACCACACTGTGATAGTTAGATAAGTTAGCCAGAATATAATAGAAAAGGGTTTAGGGTATTCTACGTCAAAAATCCGAACACAACCCAGTACTACGCGTGAGTTAGCAAAGTTTGTTTAGACAGATTAAGGTCGTGATCGTGACGTACGGTGAGCCATTGGGTATCATCGGCCTTGTCGGCAGAGAAAATAGCTTCGAGGGAATAGTATCCGGGGATGATGAATCCAGCAAAGTTGGTAAGGATTTGACCTCCGAAGTTGAAAAAAACGAAGAAGAAGTAGAGGCCGACAACACCAAGAACGGCGTAAACCTTGGGGATGGATGTCTGCTTCTCGAAGTTGTTGAAGACCTGGTACTTCGAAAGCTAGAAGAAAGACATCATTAGAGAACATTCCCGACGATTAACAAGAATGTGCAGTTTCGGGCCGTTGCGTGCCAGCTCTAACTTGTTGCGACAAAGGCATTTGTAGACTCACCATCTTGTCGAGCTGGCTCAGGTGAGCTTGTGCTTTATCTTGGAACGACATCTTGTAGCTTGATAAGCTCTATAGAGTCGATAGAGTGGATTTGGTCAAATAGACAGTTGTAATAATGAGTTATGTGTGAATGTTGAGCGAAAACTGAGCTTGCGATGGAACTTGTAATGTTGGTAGTGCGATGATGAAAAGGTCTGATGGAAAGTGGAAAGTTGGTTTTGAGCGACGTTGTGGTGATGTGCCCACACACTTCTGCCCCAGGCGTCATAGCCAAGCTCCTTTCGAGTTTAGCGCCATTCCGAGATCAATAAGCGAAAGGTTGCCTCATTAACCCAGGATACGTGGGATGCGAGTAAACAACAAGCAAAGAATCGAACAATTTGATTGACGACAACCTCGATGCAGCAACCATTCGCCAACTACGTCCAGACTGAATACTCGGACAAATCCTAAAAAACGAAAGTTTCCCAGACGTAATTCCCCAAGGACGCCAGAACACGGATCCCGTCATCGGCTGCAAACAATCGCCAAACATCATCAACAACAAAGCCTAGCCCCGCTCTAGATAATGAGATATTATATTATATAACAATAAAACATTGGACCCTCGAAGACATCTTTTACATACAAACAAATGGGTATGTAGGCACTGGCGCTGCGCGTTACATTTGCTCAATGCGAAATATTTATACCGCGCATCCCATTATTTACCATCCCAACAACGCGAAATACTAAGGGCTTAGCAGATTTATCCCAACCACAAACCGAGATGGTGCCCACGAAAAGTCGCTCGCGCTCAAACACGGCTGTCTCTATGAAGGGGAGAAAGCGCCAGCTTTCCCGGGGATCAACAACAAGTCTACACAGTGCCGCCACGCTACACGACCAACAAACGGACGGTAACCCCGCCGAATACCAGAAACAATGGTTTGAGAACGAGCAACAACAAAGATTCGCGGGTGGCGGCCATGTAACTGCCGAAGACATGGTTATGCAGTCCGCCTCACAGCTGCGAGACCCGCGGGACTATGGCATCGACCCCGCGCTGGGTGCTGCGGTCAACCATACCTTAGGATACTCGCATGACGGCTCGTATAGGCCCGAACATGCACGGCGGTCTCTACCAACCGATGGGTATGGAACAAATTTGGAAGATGATAGCCCTATGCTTGAAGGCCGTAGCGATGAGCAGGATGACGTCGATTCGTTAGCTGGTGCTAATGGAGCTCCCAAAAAGGCTTCGAAGTCGAGCGCAGCAAATGAGCTTGAGATGCGCCAGCTATTTCAAAATAATAAGCACCGCAAACTGCCTGAAGTAGCTACAGAGCTACATGGCAATGAAAGGGGACCGCGGTCCGAGAGGATGCGGCAGGTGTTTGCAATGATCTGGTATGTGCTTAAACCACAGTCTTTGACTTATACTAATGTCTGCAGGATTAATCAAGTTTGTGACAAAGGAAAAGGGTCAGTACCTAGAGGTCGCGTATACGCAAACTATGTTTCAAGGTGTGCAACGGAACGCGTCACGGTGCTCAACCCAGCGTCTTTCGGCAAGCTTGTCCGAGTTTTATTCCCTGGCCTAAAAACAAGGCGCCTAGGTGTCCGAGGTGAATCTAAGTATCACTATGTCAACTTCAGCCTGAAGGAAGATCAGCCAAACCTAATTGAGAATCCATCAACGCAAAAATACCAACCCATGAAGACGGCTGAAGCCAAGAGATTTGCTCAGGAGCCTAGGTGTGTTTTATAACTTGCTAGAAAAGCATCCACGTCGTGCTAACATTATTTGTAGTCTTCGGTCACACACTCCGGTGGATAAACAAGAATTCCCAGCAACGGGTTTCTCGCCTGTCCTTGAGCAGACAAGTAGGCCTGCATCTAGCTTTGTGCAATCACGTAGTCTATATAACCAGTCGGTCCTTCACAACCTCCAAGATCTCGAATACAACGGCAAAATAAGCCAGCATCTGTGCTTTGTCCCGCCGGCAGACAATTCGATGCACGAATATGAGCCCATCACGTTGCCAAAGATTGAACCATTCATCCCAGCTGGGACAGATCCAGATTCGGCAACAGCGTTGACAGCGCTGTATCGTTCCCACTGCACCTCTCTAGTGGATGCGATCCGCTTTGTCAAACAAAAGACCTTCTTTTATCTATTCACTTCCTTTCATGGAACCCTCACCATGCCGGTGCAGAAACTCTTTGGTCACGAGAGTATCGCGCCGTGGATAGAAGAATGCGATTTCATCATGTACCAAAAGATGATCCGACTTCTAGGCCATTTGACTCTTGAAGTTGTACCGCAACAAATTCTAGACACCTTGCATGCAATCTCAGAGCGCCTGGTTTCTCACATCCAGACATCTTTCCACGGCCAGCCTGCTCACGTCATCGATGCCAAGGTCGCTCCTGCAACCCTATTCGCTGGCTTGTTAGATCGCATGTGCAGAGTCAACCTCACGGCCCATGCAGCCGCAAATATGCTTTCTCATCCTCCTAATCGGGATCAGATGTACCAAGATTGGATATCGATGGTACGTCTGCGAAAGGTCGCAGAATGCATCCCAACAAGGGCAATGGATGATGTGGCAAGGCTCCTCTTAACGGAGTTACGAGATCTTCTTGATCCAGTTACGGTGGCTTGGGATATAGAAAGTGTCACACCATACGGTGATATGTCAGCTCGAAGCGGTAACCAAAGGGAATCCAGCATTCATTTAGATTCGACGACAGAAAATGTCCTCGATCGCTGGGTCAATTTCTTGGTCTCGATTCCGGGTAGGTTCTCCTACGCTAGCCCCGCGGACATTATATGGTGTGTCGAGCGCGTCGGCACAGCAGTGATGAGAGATCTCACTATCAAGTCCGGCCAGAGTTTTGGATCCTGGTGGGTCACAAAATGCTGGATCGACGAGATGATATCTTTCATGGCCGAGAAGGGTGGTTTCATGGAATACAAGACATCCAACACCAGGCGGAACGAGAACACAGTCCAGTCTCAACAGAACCGAGCGGCCGAATCGAACCCGAATGTATATAATGGCCTGCCCATGGACGACTTTGAGCATCAGCAGTATATGAACGGCTCTAATGGCCACGGCATTACGATTCCAGGTCCGATGGACACGGCAAGCAGCGCAGCTATGAATGTTGTTTCCGGACATGATGACAGTGGAATTGGCATGCGGACGCCAGACGACGAGTTCTCCATGAGCAAGTTCAACTTCAGCGATGCTCAAATGGGAACCCCTAATATGGATGGAACGATCAACCTCGCACAGGCAGCTTAAAACTTCCAAAGCATGATACTTTTTGACGGCCTCACGTTGCGATTGGGAATTGGTAGATTTCTCGAAGCTTTCTTCAAAGCTCCAAACTAGGGTAGAAGGGGTCACTGGTTGGGCACGGATGGGACCCCATTATGATCCTGGGATGATATTTATGATGTAGACTTGTGTGGGGGCACGGCGTGTATGTGTATATAGGATTGATTTTTTGGTAATCCATGGTGGATTAGGTGGGCAAAGGCCTGTTTGTTTGGTTTGTGTTGGGCTGGCTGACTTACTGCGCTATTTTTAATTCTCGAGAGGAGCCGTGGATGTCTGTCTTCGACATTGATGTACTTGCGTCAAACTGAATGAGATATTTTGTTTGGTCATCACAATGGATTATGTTCCCTTTGCCAGGTTTTGAGTTTTCCAAGTGATTGTGATCTAAACCGTTGAAAAATAACGCCGTTCCTGAACGGCTAAAAAAGAATTAGGGGAAAATATGTTCGGGTATCGTCGCGCTCCAGACCAACGCTTAAAAAGCCTTGGACATAGTACAGACGAGTCCGAAACACGAGGAAGCACGGAGGAGCGTCATCAAACTGTCAGCTGCAGATAACTCTTACAATATTAATACCCGAGTCAATCGCTTCCATCATGCCGCCACCGTAACCGCCACTCGCTCCAAAACTGCACAAGGCATCAGCTAGATATATTTATCGGCCTCGTATCTGGCACGGGGAGCCTCGCCATCAGTGCCACATGCGCATGGCTACAACACCACGATGTTGAAGCCCAGCCCACTACTACGGCCCCGCCTCCTCCCATCCATGATTGCCACGGGCCTGGTCGCTCTATTCTTCTTCACGATCTTCGCGGGGAACCTCGCCGATGCCGCCGAGCTCGACTCGACACTACCAGACGACCACAACCATGAGCGGTTACTGGACCCTTTTGTGTCGGCGCGAGGGGAGGGGGACGGCGAGGATATGATATATCAGGCGGAGTTCTCGGGGGGTAGGGAGGAGTTGCATGCGCGGCAGCTGCCGATGGCGTATGAGATACCCAACAATATTGCGAGGCCGTACAATTTGAACCAGGGGGAAACGCTGTATTTCGTCTTCCTGAACCAGTCGATCTGGGGACCGCATGCTCCTGCTGGCAGCGGGTCAACAGGGCTACCGTCTGTTGGATTAAGTCGGAGATGGGAGGATGAGGGTGAGGGGGATGAACAGGGCGCATTTAATACGGCGGATGGAAAGGACGAGGAGTCTTCGATAACGAGGAGCGTATATATCACGCTGAATACCTGCCTTCAGCCCAGCAACGCGAAAGGAGACAGTGGTCCCAAGGGCCCCCCGCCTCAAGTAACGATGTACGTCGGAGAGAACCAGACGACGCTCGGGGCCTCCAAACCCGCCGACGGCCAGCGAATAATAGCCGCCGAATTCGGCTTCGCAGACCTAACATTCGACGCCTCCAAAAACCTCTACATCGCCGTCACCGGCCCCAACGCCACCGAATACGAAGGCATCTACAGCGTCGAAGTCGGCGTCTCCATCGACGCCCCCTTCCACGCCTACAGCGGCGACGCCACCGACCTCTTCTTCATCGACAGCGACTCGAGCTCCGCCCTCCTCGCCACCAAAAACCTAACCCTCGACAACTCCAGCACACCCGTCTACCAGCAGTGGATGCAGCTCTCCCCGCCCCCCTACGTGATCTTCGCCAACAACCAGAACCAAACGTGGATCCAGGGCGTCTCGCGTTCGTACTGCGGGCTGGAGAACTATGCGCAGATCGCGGGGACGCAGAAGGGGCTGCGCACTGATATGGTCAAGACGATCATGACGAATGTGACGCTGGGGACGCATCCGAAGCAGCAGTTTTACTTCCACGGTCTGAATGCGAGTTCGCAGTATTATGGGATTTTGGCTTTGCCGAGGAATGCGACGGATGCGCCGGGGGGTGGGGGGCGCGTTTGGCAGACTATGAATTTTACTACGCAGTCTGGTTCGTCTATTCTCTACTTCTCTCCTTCGCTCCTTCTCCCATCTTATCATGTGAGCTTCCAACTAACTAACTACCCCCCCCCACAGACGGCAACTGCGCGATCCTCTTCAACCTCTCTTTCTGCTCCGATGTCTCGTACGCCGTCCCCGGCAACCCCACCACGTTCCCAACCCTCACCTCCCTCGCCGCCTTCTACGACAACGCCGCCAAATCCGCCTACTCCAACTTCGCCAAAGCCCTGCAACAAATCCCCTGCGAAATCCCTAACACCGGCCAGTACAGTCTGGTCCGCAACTGCGACGACTGCGCGAAAGCGTATAAAGCCTGGCTCTGCAGCGTCACGATCCCGCGGTGCCAGGATTACAGCCGTGGCGACCCCTGGCTGCAGCCGCGGAACGTGGTGCAGCCCTTCCCCAACTCGTCGGTGCTTCAGGATACGAATTTCCTGGCGGCCAGCCAGGCAATTCGGTACCTCAACTCGAGCAGGAATCCGGCGATCGATGCAATAGTGAAGCCGGGACCGTATAAGGAGATCCTGCCGTGTCTGGATATGTGCTATAACCTCGTGCAGAGCTGTCCGGCGGCGATGAAGTTTGATTGTCCGGGGATGGAAGGGGCGAGTAGTTATGGAAGGAGGCCGAATGGGAGTAAGAGTGAGGATGGGCAGATTACGTGCAATTACCCGGGGGCGGCTTATCATCTCGGTGGTGCGGGAGTGGTGCGGGTGGGATGGTTGGGGGCGGTGGTGGTGGTGGGAGTGGCGGTGATGGTGGTGGTGTGATGGGATGGTAGATAGGGGGGTCAGCATCAAGGCACAGCGCGGCGTTTGGGATGGATATACGTGTAACCATGCGCGCTTTCTCCCTCACCCGTCTGTGTGTCCGTTTGCAGCAGCACATTGTTGTCGCCGATTCGTTGTCGCCGATTCGTTGTCGCCGATTCGTTGTCGCCGATTCGTTGTCGCCGATTCGCGTCGCTGTCGCCGATTCGTTTTCGCCGATTCGCGTCGCTGTCGCCGATTCGCTGAACTCGGGGTGATTTGTGAAAGGTACGTACCCGCGCGATGCGTGCAGGGTTTTGTTTACCCGACAGCGACGCGTCGCGGGCGCGTAAGTAAGTGGAGTGCCATCACCCCAGAACATCCCAGAACATCAGAACATCAGAACATCAGAACATCAGAACATCAGAACATCAGAACATCAGAACATCAGAACATCAGAACATCAGAACATCAGAACATCCCTGGTGTGGTGGTGGTGGTGGTGGTCTTTGGCCCTGGTGGTGGTGGTCTTTGGCCCTGGTGGTGGTGGTCTTTGGCCCTGGTGGTGGTGGTCTTTGGCCCTGGTGGTGGTGGTCTTTGGCCCTGGTGGTGGTGGTCTTTGGCCCTGGTGGTGGTGGTCTTTGGCCCTGGTGGTAGTGGTCTTTGGCCCTGGTGGTAGTGGTCTTTGGCCCTGGTGGTGGTGGTCCTTGGTCCTGGTGGTAGCGGTGTGGTGGAGGTGTGGTGGTGTGGTCCTGGTAATGGTGGAGGTGTGGTGGTGTGGTGGTGGTCCTGCCCTAGTGGTGTGGTCCAGTGGTGTCGTCCAGTGGTGTGGTGGTGGTAGTGGTGGTGTCTCTGTGTCTGCGATATAGTGGAGAGAGACCTACAAGATCACCTCCCAGCCTATCGTTCCCCGCCATGTCTGACCAGTAACTTAATCAGTACTCGAGTAATCTCGGCACACAGCTCCCTCCCGCTACTCTCAACACTCCCCTCCCCTCCCACTACTCTACTCTATACTCTCTCCACTCTATACTCTATACGCCCACACGCTTCAACTCCCAAACGCCCTCGCCCGCTGACACCCAACCGTCCCACAGTCTCCACTCCCTCTCCCTCTCCCTCCCCCCTCTCCCCCCTCTCCCCCCCCTCCCCCCCCCTCCCCCCACCCACCCGCGCTCCACCAGCCCTTCCAAGGTTCTTCTTCTCTTCTCACCTAGACTAGGCCTCCGTAGCCACAATCTTGTTTCTCGTTTTCTCCCATCCTTTCCTACCCACAGTCTGGCCCAATTTCAACCTCAATCCACCCACCATCCCAGCCGTCTCAACTTCAACAGATCGAATGCCGCCGTCGTCATCTAGCATAGCTCACCAAAACATACAACAGCAACAGCAACAGCTTCATCAATCAATCAACCCATCTCGCTCAACCCCCGCAGCCTTCCCGACGCGTAGCCTACCGAATCGACCGATACCTCGTTGCCTAGACGCCTCGATCCAACCCCAACGCCGCGTTGTCGGCTCCTCGCGATGTCGTCGACGCGTCATCGTCACCACCAGCCGCTGCAAATCTACCAAGATCCCGAATCCGATCGAAGCCACATACCATCCGGCTCGACACTCCCGCGCCTCGCCTCGCCCCTACGTCCCATCAGGAACGCCTCCTCGAGACGGAACATCGTCCTCAACGCTCCTGTCGTCCAGGCCAACAATGGATCACCACACAAGAACGCGCTGCACTCGTCAAGCTCGCCGTCGAGGAACGGCATGAGCAATAAGCTCAACATGCACGCCATGCCGCCGCCGCGGGGAGCAATGCGCAGCACGGACTCGCTCGAGAAGAAGCTGCCTCTCGAGGCTAAGGGACAGGGGTCTGGGCCACAGAAGGCACTCTTCACCACCGCCTCGAATATTTATCCCGCCGGAAAGGAGAACTACCAGCATCAGTATCATGACGCGGACGACTTCTACGCAAACGATGCCATATACGGACAGAAGACCCAGAGGAAGCGTGCGCTACTGGAGGCTCCAATGATTCAGTCGAAGAAGCAGAGAATGATGCCGGAGCCTACACGCCCCGCCGCAGAACGATTCGGTGCCGCCAAAGACGACGGAACAAAGCCATCGCACAGCTACGCCACGCTCATCGGCATGGCCATCCTCGGAGCCCCAGGGAAGCGATTGACCCTGGCCCAGATCTACAAGTGGATCTCGGATTCATACTCATACTACAGCGCTGCCGAGACGGGATGGCAGAACAGCATCCGCCACAACCTCAGCTTGAACAAGGCCTTTGTGAAGCAGGAGAGGCCCAAGGATGATCCCGGAAAAGGCAACTACTGGGTCATTGCTCGGGGAGAAGAGGAGAAGTTCAACAAGGACAAGCAGCCCAAGAAGGGAACGATTATGGAGAGCGGTCCTATTATGTCCGCGTCCGTATCGCTCCCGGCACCTCTCATGATCCAGGAGCGTCCGCCGTCGTCGTACAGAAACTCGACTCCAGCACCCTCGGAATTCGCTCCTCCTTCTACAAACCCGTTCATGTCCATCAAGCCCGCCACGAAGCGGGACAGCGAGCTCTCCTCCGACGCCACCATCCCCGCCTCGGACACCTACCAGCCCGACGAAGAAGCCCCAGAGCACGAGCTCTACGCACACGCCGGCGCTGCCCAACCCATCCTCTCCTCCCCACCCGCACTCATGCAATCCTCCCCCCCGGTCCCCCGACGCGTCCGTCTCCGCGACGACACGCCCCCACCCGTGGTCCGCTTCGCCCGCTCCTCCGCCCAGCGCTCCCACAAACGCAACTTCGCGTCCATGGACGACAGCGGCTACTTCTCCTCCCTGAACTCCTCCGCCCTCCGCAACCCCGTCCCCGATCGCCATCCCGTCAAGCGCGGCCGTGCTGAAGAGGAAATCGCCCGTCTCCGCGGCTCCTCCTACGACAGCCCCTCCAAGACCTCGCGTCGCGCCCGCCACACTCCATGCGCCGAGTCCATCGCCTGGGCCGCGCCTTCCTCTTCTCCGCTTCGCAGAGGGCTCGTATACGAGTCCGCCGCCATGCTTCCCCCGCTCACGCCGGCTGTCAAGCTGACCGCGCCTTCCCGCCCGCCGCCCTCGGTATCTCCAACCACAAACCTCCGTCTCCACCGCGAGCGCGTCCGCCAGCTCGTCGGCTCACCGATGCGCGACTCCATTCACGCCGCCGACGACTGCCTCCCCTGGAGTCCGGCCTTCAACCTCGCCGAGCCACTTTTCCCGGACCTGGAAACTGAGTTTGAGATGTTCATCGAGTCTAGTGCGGGAGATCTGCTCGCGGTGCCGGGGAACGGGTCGCCGGAGAAACGCACAGCGAAGAGGGGACGCTTCGACCTCGCGCCGAGCGTGTTGGGGGACTTGTCGTCGAATCTTCATAATAGCTTCTCGAGGAGAAGTGTGACGTCGACGCCGAAGCTGAATTTCGCGCCTTCGCTTGCGCCGAGGGTGTTTCATTCCCCGTCTGCGGCGTTGGGGTTGGGGGGGGCGTCGCCGAGTAAGTTTGCGAGTCCCATCTTCAGTCTGGGTGGTAGCTTCGATATTGGTGGTGCTTCTTCTTCCACCGCTAGTGGTGCTCCTGCTGGCGCTAGTGGGGCGCAGGAAGAGTACTACGGCGCGGAGTTCCTGGCTGATGGTGTCGCGGAGGATGCGGGGATGGATATCCTGCAGGGTTTTGCGAAGATTGGGGCCAAGGGACGTGGTGGGGGGCCGGAGCAGATGAAGGGGCTTGGTGTTAGGAGTGGAGTGAGGAGGAATTTTACGAGTCGGTTTTAAGACCGTGAAAGGGATGCGGTGGTGATGATTATGAAGGGATTATTTTGTTTGTTGTTTTTGTTGATGCTACGTCTAGTGCTGTCGGAGTCACACTTGCGCCGCGCTGAGGGGCTATGTTGGGTTTTTTCTTGTTTATGATAAATGTCTGGATATACGAAAATGTTCCCCTTTGTTTTTCTTTCCGGGCCGGACTTCTTTGTCGGTTGTTTGTTGGATTGGGGGTCTGAGGATCTGTCTCTCTATCTTGTCTGAGCTTTTCTTTGTGGATGTATGCGTGGGGGTATGTTTGGGGTGTTTTGCCTTTTGGGCTGGGGGGGGGGGTTTGTCTGAGTCCTTACTACAGGATTGCTGAGTACTGGTTCTTTTTGTTGGAGTCATTATGATACTAGGTTTTGTTTGGGGTAGATTATGAGTTTTTCCTTCCGTACGCGGATAGCGGCGATGAACAGAATAATGAATAAACAAGTCTATTTTATAATTATGAGGTCTTGAGTGATGTGGTGTGCTGTGCTGGATTCCTAGTGGTAACTTAGTTGTGATACTCGTCGTTACCCGCCTACTCGGTCCCTGCTGTCACTTCCCAGCAGTCACTTCCCAGCAGCAGTTTAGAAATCTTGCCCGATCAGGCAATCGGGCAACCTTTCTCCCCTTCCTTTCGTAGAAACAACCCACCTACCTACCTACCTGCCAGTTTAATCCCCAATTCCGTGCCTCGGAACTTGGAAGTTACCACCGTCGGCTTTTCATCGGCTCTGCAACGCCCACAACTTCCGATTGGTGTACGATTTGCCCGTTGGAGTTAACCCTAGCGCCCGTCCGAGGCTGTTAGTTCATCTACCCCGGATTCCGTCCCCCGCACGCAAGGAGAGACCGGCTCTAGGGATTTTTGAACTCTAAAGAGCCATAGAAAAAAACTGCCGACCATGTTGCCGATTCCCCCATGTGGTTAATTGACAGGATAGCTCCCTGGATTTTTGGCGCTGGTGAGGGTGTGACTTCATGCCCTGCTGTGCCCCCCAGGGGAGGAGCTGTACCAAAAGCCGTTCCTAGCGGGTTCGGGCCCTGAGCCCCGTTGTCACCTCTCACAGACGCCAGGATTACGAGGAGCCGTCAATGGCGCCCTCCTTTGCGGGGGCATTTCTGGCGTCTGCGAGGGTTGATGATGTGGCCGGGATCCTCGGCAAGGAGCGGAATTTGGTGTTTACGGACAGCTCCCCGCAAAGTGCCGCCCCTTCAGAGGCCCTCCCCCGCAAAAGGAGGGGCGTTTGGTGGGTTTGGCTTCAGAGATGAGGAGGTTGGGGAGATGGTTTGTTTGTTTGCAGGTTAGGAAGTGCAAGTATGCGAATTATCGATGCCTGTGTAGGCCAATTGATGTTGCTTTGGGTGAGGTGAGTATAAGTCTTCCAGAGTTTCTCATTTTTAGGGAGAAGATTTTTTGAGCAGCCTCAAGCAGCATCTCACCTCGTTGGCAATAACAATATAGGCATCATGAAACTCCTCGCTGGGCTCTCGCTCCTGGCTAGCATCCCGCATTCGTTATCCGTTCCAACAATGACAATCAGACCGGCAGCAGAGATGTAGTTCAGAATGCCCTCCCATTGCTCAAGCCACAGCGTACGCTGTCTAGAGATCTTGTCAACCTAGATGGACTGTGGAAATCTCCGTTGCGCCCAGCGCCAACAGCACTGCCCAACCTTGGACTGGACCATTGGTTACAGACCTCGAATGTCCGGTCCAGCGTCCTACAATGACATCTTCGTCGACCGCGAGATCCATGACCACGTCGGATGGGCTATACTACCAGCGGGACGTGATTGTCCCCAAGGGCTGGTCGGAAGAGCGATACTTTGTGCGCGCCGAATCCGCCACGCATGAAGGCCAGATCTATGTCAACGACCGTCTAGTCGCTTCTCATGTAGGCGGTTACACGCCATTCGAGGCTGATATGACCGATCTTGTGACTGCGGGCCAGCAGTTCCGTCTTACCATCGCGGTCAACAACATTGTCACGTTTCAGATCTCCCTCCTGGAAAGGTGGTGGTTAGCAAGTTGACGGGCAAGAGAACTCAAACGTACTTCGTGACTTCTACAACTATGCGGGCTTGGCTAGCTCGGTCTGGCTGTACTCTGTGCCTCGTTAGCATATCTAGGATATTACTTTGTCATGGATTATAAGGGAAACACTGGCATGATCAACTACAACATCACCGTGGCCAAGGGGATAACTGGCAAGATCCAGATTGTAGTCATCGACGAGAGCGGCGCGCTACAGGAACCATCAAGACCCCCTCCGTGAAGCTATGGCAACCCGCAGCCTATCTCTACAACTTCCGCGCCAGCATCGTCGACTTCAACAAGAAGACCCTTGATACCTACAACCTCGTGACCGGCATCCGCACCATCGTGGTCAAAAACACCAGTTCCTCATCAACGACAAGCCCTTCTACTTCACCGGCTTCGGCAAGCACGAGGACTCCAACATCCGCGGCAAAGGCCACGACCAAGCCTACATGGTCCACGACTTCCAGCTCCTGAACTGGATCGGCGCAAACTCCTTCCGCACCTCGCACTACCCCTACACCGAGGAGATGATGGAGTTCGCCGACCGCCGCGGCATCGTCGTCATTGACAAACCCCCGCCGTGGGACTGAACTTCGGCCTGCGCACCCCGGACAGCGAGACCTTTGGGCCGGATCTCATCTATAACCAGACCCAAGCGGCCGCGTCCGATGCTAAGGGCGCGAGGGAGTACTCCCCCCCCCGGCGGCGCTCGCGCGCCAGCTCGACTCGTCCCTGCCTATCACCTTCGCCAACGTGTTCTTCGCGACCTACCTCACGGACAAGATCTCAGACCTATTCGACGTCCTCTGCCTCAACCGTTACTACGGGTGGTACACCGAGACCGGAGACCTCGCCGAAGCCGAGATCGCGCTCACGACCTAGATGCAAGGCTGGGTCAAAAAGTTCGACAAGCCGATCGTGATGACCGAGTACGGCGCGACACAGTCTCCGGCTTGCACTCCGTCCTTAGGCTGCCGTGGAGCGAGGAGTACCAGGTGGCGATGCTCGGGATGTATCATAAGGTGTTTGACTCGATTAAGGCGATGGCGGGGGAGCATGTGTGGAATTTTGCCGACTTTGAGACGAGTGTCGGGACGGGGAGGGTGGATGGGGATAAGAAGGGCGTGTTTACGAGGGATCGGAGGCCGAAGGCGGCGGCGCATGCGTTGAGGGAGAGGTGGACGAAGTTGAAGAAGAAGTAGGCTTTATCTTTAGTTGGTTATAGGTGCATGGCATGGTCACTTCACACGGGCAGTGTGGTTGGCGTGCTTTGCTTAAACCATTAGAGTCACTACTCACAGCCTTTAACTTACAATATTACTTATTATAAAGTTGAAATGATCTTTACTATTTTTCTTTCTAGAAAGGCGTTGTTTGTGGATGCATAGAGAATTCTGTAATGTAAATGAATTGGGTCGACGTTCGCATAGCTCCTATAACACCACCATCTCTGACACCTATTAGAATGTTAAGTGCTTAAAGGGGAGAAAGACGAAAGAAGGGTGACCGCTAAGAATATTGGCAGCTTTCTGTGATTTTTGCCAGTTCTGGATTACAGTTCTCACTGTATATCTCCCAATAGGCAAGTAATTTTCACATACGACCATAGACTCAATAGAACTGGGCATCCCGTCCGCTCTGCCATACATAACCTTGAGATCGGTGGATTAGTAGTTGGGTGGGTGACCACCAGCGAATACCCACTGTTGTATGTTTTTTGTCTTTTTATACAATAGATTTATTTACCTTCTCCTTAGTGGCATGGCGGATTTGCCGTGTCCACACCTTTTTTTCGCTAGGAGGCATGATTTAAAGCCGATATCAGCCAAGAGAATCAGCGTTAGGGATTGTTATAATATAGCCGACTATAAGAACTACAGCGGAAGTGGATTGATTCACTTTTGCTAGTTCAACAGGGATCGAACCTCAGAGTGGCTTGGTCATATGTCTGACCAATCCTTTTAGATGCTCTTGTAGAATAGAGTGCCTAATTTGTCTACCTCTACGATTTTTACACCTAGAGAGCAACTTAACAAGTTAAATGCAGAGTTTTTAAGGCATTATAGAATGGGTTATATACTCTAGTGAAGAGTTAGGAACTGTTTTGTATGTGAAAGTTAGTGCCAAGGGCGTTGTTATTAAACATATAAGCAAATAAAATGAAAGAAAGTAGAGGACCATTTGCATCATGGCTGTAGGGTTGGTAGGTACGAATCACCAAGCTATGCAGAGTCAGGTCACTTTCTTGAAGGCGTGGACTGATATGGATCATGATAGGCAAGTTAGATCCCTTTTGGCCACGATGGTCGACGCACACAGACACAAAGAATATAGCAGGCTTCATCCGCTCTATGTCCGTTTAGGCGTCTCTACCTCCCATACATTAGAAATCCCCGTTGCCCCGAAACACAAAAACCAGGAGAGCGATGGAATCGTGGTTTGACTCCACTACAGAGCTCCTGGTGGCAATATATCTCATATATCTCGCACACGAGGAACTAGAAGCAAGGTTAAAGCTTCTTCTTATATCCATTTAATCGCTGCTTTCATCAGCATCTAGCCATTCTCGATCCTCCGGACTGGCGTCAGCTCCGTAATCAAGTAGTAGCCTGGCAAAATCTCTCTTTTTATAAAATCTAGCCGTTGATAGCGGCGTCCAGCCAATGTCATACTTATGATTGACATCGGCTCCTTTATCAAGTGCCAGCTTAGCAATTGCTTCGTTCCCTGTATTAGCAGCGAATATCAGGGGCGTCTGACAACGCATCCCCCACATATACTTCAGCTATCGTACTAAGAAGTAGCTCAACGACTTTCTCGTGCCCATTCTCAGTAACCTCCATTAGCAGCGTTCTATCATTACCATCTTTCAAATCACCTTCAGCTCCTCTATTAAGCAGTATCTTGCATTTGCATGCCCGTGTTCACCGGCAGCCCATATTGGGTTGGTCCAAACCTTTGTATACACCGTCTCGATAGAGGCTCCTCTATCTAGAAGTTGTTCTACCGCTGCATCTTGGCCTGCTCCAGCTGCTAATAATACCCAAGAATCACGCAGTTTTGGCGATTTATCGAGTATACTCTTCTCCATACCAGGTCGGTCCATCCAAGCAGGATAGGCTGCCAATGCGTGATCCTTCCATTCTTCAACCGCATAGCTAAAAAATTTGCGCGCCTTAAAGTCATCCCGTTTTTCTTGAAGTATAATCTCTTCGTCGGATATCGTCCCGGCATCGTGCGCTATCTCTTCGTTGAGTGCTATATCTTTGTCGAGCGCTGTCTCTTCGGCCTCATTTATACTCAAATATTTCCAGTAGACCTGGAGCATATCAAAGTTCGATGCACTTTCTTCTGGATAGAATCCTACAAGGTCGTCGTGCCCTGAGAGATCTTCTAGAAAGTCTTTTGCTGATTGGTGTACTAGATGGACAGTCTGATTCTCTTCATCGAGTTTTAGGAATGCTCCGCAGCAACGATATTCACGTCTCCATTCATTTAAGTCTCGACCATCTGGAAGAGTAGTTTTATCATACCCACCCAACCTAAGAAGACATATTTAAGCGACCACACGTATCTTACTCAGCAGTACAAATTGGGGCCTATCCCCACCGTAGAATAGTTAGTCGAATTGATCCCGATTGAAATGCGCAACAGGTCTCATCACTCTGATCGCTCTCAGAGTCGAGTAGTATCGATATCCAAGACCGCCCCCTGGCCTCGAGTGCATTGGCCAGTCTGAGGGTCTATGGATGGCTCGCATTGGGGATCGGGATCATCGGTACAGTTGACAGTCGAGAGCTATGATCGCCCCCTTTTTGATTTCGCCGGCCTGTAATCAGACCAAAGTCGGCCATTGGAAACGTCAAAGGCGGGGGTGGATGGGGGCATTGTCTCCTCTGTGAAGTGATACTGGATCCATATTCACCAGCGTTAGAATTATCAGTGCTAGGCGTGTCCGGTACTAATTTATCTTGATTGCTTCTCTTGTATTTAGTTTGTATTATCTCGGATGGATGAACAAGAATCCTACCGTCGTCGTTTGCGGCTCTTTATCTCACATGGAATGCCATCCACGGAACAGTTTGCACAGGGCGGGCCCAATAACCTGACTGTACACCGCACCTTTCGTAAATTACAGGCCTTGCACGCCATGGTGCGCGCTTCGACTTCTGGATAGAATATCATTGAAAGATTTTGCTTACGATCTTATCTGACATTAACGAGGGTGAGTTTGAATCACTCGGAGTGTTTCTCAGTAAACTAAGAATATAATTGTATGAAATAACATGTGAAACAAGGATTTCGGAATAATAATGGGCCGACATGAGATAATCCCAGCAGGTCGAGGGGACATGCGAATGGGTTCTGATAAATGCACAGTCCACTGAATGGCTTAACGTTGATAAGAGCCAACTGCTACGCTTGACTGGTGGTCCTGGAATTGGTAAAACCATGATTGCAACCTTTTTAGTTGATGAACTAAAAGAAAGGGCGAAATACTCTGGATCGGATTTATTCGCTTTCTTCGATCCCAACAGCCGTAATAACAAGGGGAAGTCAAATACCCTAGTTCAATCAGTTAGGATTATTGTCATCCATAGGCCGGAACCAAGCATAGAAAAGGGTTTCTTGGATGGAACCAAGCCATTGAAAGTCAATAGTGGTCTTATAAATCGTTATACAGCTTTCGTTTGAAGTAGATCCCATTTTTGTACATAGAGGGAAATAGTTGCAAAGTAAAAGGTGGTGGAAATGGTGGAAAGTGTAACGCTGACTTCTAAACGATAGAAGACACAGAGGTTTCTTGCGGAAGGTTGACTTGACAGAGGAGGCAGGGGATTAGACACAAAGGCTTTCCAAGTAACACGTTACAGTATTGTAAAGAATACTATATTGAGTTGAGCACGAAGCTCCTATCTAAGGAAATACTATCTACTTATATAGTGGCGTCGTGCCAAAGGGATATCCGTGGATAACATGAATAACATAATATCCATGATATCCAATGTTATCCATCACGTGAGGTTGCAGCTGTAAGCGCTAGCCATAGCACTAGCACTTAGCCGTAACACCAGACTGCAGTCTGGACTGCAGTCTGGACTATTAGTCTAAATCACAACATATGACTTGTAGCCTTTGCTATCTACGATTCTACCTCCAAGCTCCCCTATGTCATCTCCACTGTGTCTGATCCCCCACCACTCTCATCGTGCCCCAATGCATCAGAGTGGTTGAACCCATCAGCTGCATCGACATAGCGACACTAGACTCTGCAATTATCTGACGGTAGTCCTCATGAAGCAGAAAACTCACATCTGATGGGACTATCAAGGCGCTGCCGTCCCAGGAACGTAGACATTCTACGAGATTTAAAGTTTCAGCGTCCATAGCTCCTCGCTGATCGGTTACCGTAAGTTTTGATTTCGAGAATAGTCGCTCTGTCCCAGAAGACATGGCTGCAATAGAAAGAATATCAATGGCCATCAATGACAAGCTAGGGAATCATTTTCATCATCACAACAGGCTCACGGCAGTACACTTCGTACTTGTCATCGTCTGTGTTGAAAATCGTCACCTTCTGCTCATTCATCCACATTTTGTACCCATTTAGTCACCTCGTAGTTGGCTCCTCTGCTAAGCCTGGTCGAAGAACTGGCAAGGAAGAAGTTGATTTGTACGATTGCCTCCACAGCTGCCCTACCTGAGATTTAGCTTTCTCAATCCATTCCGTCTTGTCTTCCCAAGTCTTCTCCATGTATGCCCACTTGAAAGAAGGGTTTAAGACTGTGGCTGCTGAATAGACTGGAGAGTCTTCTGTCAGTTCATAGTAGTCGGCCAGTTTGGCCCAATCAGTCTCCATCATCATAGCCAAGTGGGGGATGGTGGTGGCCTCCCTGGCGGCCTCGATGTGGTGTAGGAGATAATCCATGGTGGGAAGAACGTCGGCGATGGAATTTTGAACGCCCTCGTTGGCCATTGTCGCGTCGTGGAATGGTTCCAGAAATTTGTGAATCTCAGCAAAAGTTACCCAATCAGACGGAGTTAGGGCATCCTCTTGTAGAGTAGGCTCTTGTGTGCAAAATACGGTTATAGGTTGCCTGACTTTATGCCTGAGAGCCCTTTCAACCATTTGGTACCATGAATTCCAATGAGTGTCATTGTCACGCTGTAGCCTGAGGCGTTGTTGTTGTAAGAAAAAAACAAGAAAGTGGGCGAAGCGGAATACTCAAATGTTGGCTTACAACAATAAACTCCGAATGGGCTAGCGCGAACAAAAAGTGAGCTCCAGTTTCGCATACCAAACGGACCCTAACGCGATACCACCTCGGGATGACTGCTGTGGCAAACAAAGCATCTTCCTGACGCGCATGACAAACGGAGTTATTCCGGACGCAATTACCAGCCAACATTCTGATAACAAAGAACGCTCCGCTCACAGATACCATTCGGAGACGTTGCAGACATGATACTAGCCGTGTGCTTTGTGGACAAAGCACTCTCTCAGGAGGGGAGTAGTGTAAGGATGCTTGTCCCTCAGTGACGGAAAGGATCTGAGTCGGGCAGGTTACGGTCATGTGGTGAGAGTGAAGGCAGGTTAGCCGAGTCGGACACGTTTCGGGTACTTAAGGAGATTGACCCAACGGGGGTTCCTCTCTTCATCTTTTTTGTATCCTTCGTAGTAGACCTATAGGATAGCATCCGTTTAGCCTCCTACTTGCACTCTCATATGCTATTACTGTGAGCTGGGTGTCCTGTGTCCTTACAATTAGTGCCTTCACTTATTTGGCACTAGGGATTTTTACTGTTATATAAGCACTTATTGCTCATGTCTCTTATTGATCTTTAGCTAGCAAATTATATAATACTTGGCCTTCTTGGAAATCATCATGCTTCGACTTACTTTGCATCCCCTTACTTCAAGTCTCACCACTTAGCCAACCTGTTAGTCTCACCACTTGACCTCTATGGTATAAAGTATATGCTTTGGAGCCTGAACTACTATACCTTGTCCTACTGCTTCAAGTATCGAAGTCTTCACATTATACTTCGGATACTTCTGCAGACTTGAAGGTCAGCCTCGGTTCGAACTGTCCTTACAGTAAGGCAAGCTGGCTGTTTGAAAATCCAGTGTCAGAGAGCATGATGAGCTCTGTGCCTTGAAGGTTGGCGTGGTACCAAGAATCCATGTGTATTTTGCCCAGAATGATAAGTACAGGTGGTATGACTTTTCCAGTTGCAGACACAGCCTCAAGTATAGTAATAGACGTACGATTGTCAGGGCTTGGGGTGTAGAGCTCCTTTGCGGCTCATGGCACAATCACATGCTCTCCACCTGGAATCCCAACCCGAAAGCCAGTTTCATCCATATTCCAGATTGACTCTGGTTTTATACCACACTCTAGTAACCACTTTAGAACTGTAGGCTCATCTTGAGCCTTCGTATGCTGCTGCGCAATTGGCTTCATAGTAATAAAGTGATATTCTTTAAGCTCATTCCATATAAATTTTGTAAGCCAGCTTTGTGATGGGGACAGCTGTGGGCTCCGCAGCTTACAGACAGCAGCAAATATCATATTCCTAGTTGCTCCAATGTCATACTGACATTCGTTGCACTCAGTTTGCTATCAAACTCAAGAGCAAACTTAGAAATCTCCTCCTCAAACCTACAAGTCACTATACATATTTTGGCTTATCACACCAACAACAAGAGCAATACTACTCAACGATTGCTACAACCATCTATGATTCATTACACGTCATCGCTCCTTAGTTACTGGGCCGATATTACCACACAGCATATCTCTACAACCCTCTATGATTCATTACATGACATCACTCATACTACCACATGACATATCTCTACCAACTAGAGGCCTAGGAGCATGAACGATAGCTCTAAAAGCTCCTACGAACCTCTATGATTCATTACACGTCATCGCTCTTTAGTTACCCACAAGATTGGTTAAGTTATGACATAATTTGTCTATGACATAATTTGTCTATAGGGGTACTCTGACCTTGGACCTCCTTTTACTTCCTATAGGCTACGAACCTAAGAGATGGTTCTATGGGATTCTCTTACGTCGACTACAGTTACCAAGCCTGGTAAGTCATGGAAAGTCTTGGAAAATGAGAGAACTACACTCCTTTAGCATAAATAGGATTGCCCTTTCCTTAAGAAAGGGCAAGCAGACAATACAGTAAATCGACTATCACATACTTCCACGTCTTTTCCACGCTTCCAAGCATTCATCTTGTTACTCCTTGTTTCTGAAAAGTCAGTGAGGTGTTAACCTCTGACTTACCCCTGAGTTCCCAGACTCAACATTTGTTGCAACTTGTCTGAACCACTTCACTACATCACACGCCTGATTGCTGCGTTGTGGAATAGTCTAAGCTACGACCCTTTGGCTCTGTTTTCTAAGACAGTGTGTTGTCTTAGTAAATTCATCCCTTCCTTGGGTGGCTAGATTCTCACATCTGGTGCACCCACCATTACACTTCTCACCATGGACAACTTTTCAGCACATATCAAGGCCCTCGAATCGACACCACCCCCTGCGAATATCCGAGTTATCTGGCTTCCTCCAAATGCAACAAGTCGATTTCAAGCCCTAGATCAAGGTATCATTGCCTCTGTCAAAGCTCATTACCGTCGACAATGGCTCCTTTACATCCTTGATGCTTTTGAAAGGAATGAAGATCCTGTCCAAACGATGAATATACGACTTGCTATTCGATGGCTTCTTCGATCCTGGAATCACGACCTTACAAACTCGACAATCTATAACTGTTTTCGAAAGAGTACAATTGTTCAAAAGCCAGTTCAACTACCCTCACAACCTCTTCCTGATATTACCAATCTCTATCAACAAGTACAACAAGCTGGGAATGTACACGACTCTATGGATCTTTCAAGCTTTTTAAATTCAGTCGATGAGGATATACAAGAGTTAGAGGGGTGGGAGGATTTTCAGCGGGGGGATGCTATTCTTGAGGAAATCATGTCACAATACGTCCCAGATACCACTCAAGATGATGAGGAAGAGGATGAGCCTTCTTCACAGCCTGTGCCAACTACACAAGCTGCGATTAACGCCATTCAAGTTCTGATTGAGTTTACGGAATCTGGGAATAGTGACACCTCAGAAGCACCAAGGTTCTTACGTTCTTTTGAACGTTTTGAGAGACAGTTAAGGCTCCTTGAAGCCAATTCACAAAGGCAGGGGACATTAGACTTATGGTTTATGTAAATAGCTTCAATTTTTAATTTAATCACGTGTAATACATTTACTCGATATATGCATTAAGTCGATATATTTTTGTGGATCCGAGGCATCGACTTATCGTATTTTTACTGTACTCCTAATCAGTGTTGAAGGAGTGGTCGTACATACCGCCGTCGAATGTTTTCCGATAGCGGGTCAGGCCAGAACGAACACAATAGAAGTAGTATATACGCTTGGGATCAAAAATATAAATTCTACCTTTTGCATCAATAATTACATATCAATATCACGCAAATTTATCTACAGACCTCGAGATACCTATCAGAGACGGCCGCTTACGATATAGACATGAGCACCAACAGCGCCAAGAAGGCAAGTGGCAGCGGAAACAGAGGCCCAAAATGGGGCGATGTTAAAAAATGGGAAAGAGGAGTTTCTGCAACATCAGGAATGCCAGAATCAAGATCTCTTCCCACGTCGCAGAATGTGGCCATCGATACCACAAACTCCCCTGGTTTTGAACATCCTGGAGTGGCCTCATCTTGCATGTCACCTCAAGAAAAATCTATTGTTACACTTTCTGCAGAAGACAGGGCAGTTGCAGAGGCAATAGACGCAATAGAGGAACTCACAAGCGACTTCGACGCGACCAGCATCGAGGCAGGTCCCAGTAAGCGGACCCCAGAGGCCACCATTCAGCAAAAGACGCAAACTCCCAAATTAGAAACTACCGCTGGACCCTCTCGAAAGAAAGAGTCCCGAACCTGGTCTGTTAACGACAGTCCAAATAACAACTACCAAGGCCCATTCCCAACCGACGATGCTTATGAGAATAGCCCTGCATCATCTCTGTGGGATGACGACCAGTCATGGCATATCCCGAGCTACCTCAGATTTAATCCAGCGAGACTCTTGATATATCGAATGAAACCACGGCAAAAAACAATGCGACAGCGGCTTTCTTCCATGAAGCAGAAAGCCGTTGAGATTGCAACCAACGTGGATTGGGTGAAAGAAGCCATGGCCAGCATCCGTAACAAAGCCGGCGCGGAAAGTCCTAAACATAAAGAGAAGAGTGCCGAAAACTCACGCGCATGTTCAAAGGACATATCTGATTTGAGCTTAAGAGGTGGGGCCGGTAATATGTCGAGCTTGAACGGCGGAGGAAATGATATTCTTGGCTTTGGTGGAGGGAGTGATACCTGTGTAAGTATTTATCCCCATATATTTACTCAATGTAGTGTTCATCTGACAATATAGTTATAGTGTGCTCAACTTTCTGCCAGTTTGGGATCCTCGGTGGTTTTTAATTCAAGCAGCGAGTATGGCAAATCACAGAGTTCGCATTGGGCTTTACAGCAGTCGGAACTCATCCCAAGCTGTATTATTGTGCCATCGAGAGCTTCCGAGGTGTCAGACGCCATCTCCATCATTTCAACCATCGAAACATGCAACTTTGCAATCAAAGGTGCAGGGCATGGAACAGTTGTGGGAGCTGCAAATATTGATGGGGGAGTCAAGTTTGATATGAGCCAGCTTAACGAAATCGAGACCAACTCAGAAGGAACCGTCACCAGAATCGGGGCTGGAAGTCAATGGGGAGAGGTGTATGAGTATCTTGAAAACAGAGGCCTTTCGGTTGCCGGCGGTCGGAACGGCGATGTTGGCGTAGCTGGTGTGCTCCTCGGAGGTTTGTAACGAATAAATTTAAAAATCTGCAGCTGTTCTCATCCTTATCTAACTGTAAAAAGGTGGCATATCATTTTATGGCCCGCGAGTAGGCTGGGCAACTGATAATATCTTGAATGCGGAAGTAAGTTGGCATTTTTAAATGATTCCCGAATCAAAGCTGATGGCTGCAGGTCGTGCTTGCCTCTGGAGAGATTGTAAACGCCAACGCCACCTCCAACCAAGATCTTCTGAAAGCTTTGAAGGGTGGGAACAGCAACTTTGGCATCGCAACATCATTTGATCTGCGCACATTTCCTCAAGGGGCAATGTGGGTGGGTTACCTCGGTCAATCCATCAACAGTCGCGAGGAAGTTTTCCAAGCCATCAGCGATATTGCATCGAATGCCAATGAGGACCCTTTTGCTGCTTTGGTGGGTGACTTCAAGTTTAATTCCGCCACCAAATCTTGGGTCATGAACCATACTGTGGCATACACAAAACCAGTTGCCAATCCGCCAATCTTTCAGCCGTTGGTCAATATTAATCCCCAATTGAGCAACAACATTGCAATTACAAACATCAGCTCCATTGCTCTGGGGCAGAAGATGGGAGCCAAAGCTGCGTACAATAAGTAAGTAAAAGGAAATTGAAGTGGATAATCCAAACTAACATGAATAGGAATCACCTGTCTTACACGGGCACATACGGCAACGATGCAGCACTTCTCTCCAAGATCTTTGACATTAGCAATGCCACCGTTCACAAGATTATGCCGCAGATCAACGGTGGGATAAAGTGGGTTACAATGATGGAGCCGTTTCCAGCACTTGTGGACAGCTTTGGAGGAAAGAATGGCGGAAACTCACTCGGACTAAGTGCTGAAACTGGAGATCGCATTGGTAAGTCATCTGTTGAGAGATACCAGCACATTACTCACACCTCCAACCACAGTCATCCTGCAATTGGCGCAATTCGACGACCGCGAGGCGAATGACTTGGTCGACACGGAACTCCACAACATGTTCGATGAGATCGCGAGCGTTGCATCGGAAATGGGACTCCTGCGCCGATTCCGGTACTTGAATTACGCAGACAAGCAGCAGAACCCTATCAGTTCATACGGGCCGGAGAACGTGGCGCAATTGCAAGCCACGAGCAAGAAATACGATCCAAATGGGTTGTTCCAGAGACAAGCGCCTGGCGGGTTTAAGCTTGGGATGTAGTAGTAATTTATTTATTGTAAGTTGTTGGGAGTCAAGTTTGATAAATGGAGTTATTTACGGCGACGACTAGATTCCATCAAGGAGACAGGTGGTTGAGGGAAGTGATCGACGACCATCCTGTTTCAAATACCACTCTTCCTTTTGTCGGCCTGCCATAATTGTGAGATCGACAGCTACATCACGATATATCGGGATAATGGGGAAACATAGAGACGTTTGACAGGAAATCTGGGGAATGGAAGAAAAGAAGCTTGGCCGCAATCGTTGAGTGGAGGAATAATCCGATCCCGTTTCCCCGCCATTCACCGCCGTCATTCCTGATGTTGGTTCGATATTTATTGGTGGATGGAACATCTTCAATCCGACCCCTGGATGATCTACTATAGTTTGTTATGTTAATTTCACCCACTTCCGCAAGACCCAACTCCTCCTGTGATCTAGTAACCAGCTCGCGGTCTTGATTTTGATAGTGTGACATAAATTGCAATTGCCGCACCGACTAGAAGGTTAGCCGCGAGGACAAGTGTGAACTTCATGTTTCTGAAGATACGCCAAGCTTTAAGCAGCAAATGAGATGAAACGAGGTCTGCGGCGGTGGGCGGTAAAGTATGGAATGGGATGAGATGGAATGAGCGAGGGGGCGCGGAACTCTTAAAGCAGATACGGCCGTCGTTGATCACGAATCTCTATTATACCAAGAGTGCTCTGTTGTCCTGATATATTTACCCGTCTTAGCATTCCTCTCTGAATCCCCGCATTCTCGACATAGCCTCCCCAGCCTGCGAGGTCCTTTAAAGCTACGCTTGGCTCTCCACCATCTGGTCCTGCCTGTAAGAAAGTCTGTAAGAAAGAGTCGTTTGCCATTGAGGGATACGCCAAGAGAACCCGTTCGCGAGACGACTGGTGGAAATGGTGGACCAACAACCAGTGTCACAGCAGCTGCTGCATTCGCAACCGTTGTCCAGGTAAGAAACATCTTTGGGGACTTCAATCCGTTTGGCAAAGCGCGAGCGTAACCGTACATCGTTACAAGAGTATTCCGGCTCAGAGTAGCGCGAGCGTAACCGCCGTACATCATTACAAGAGGCGCTCGCGCTACATCCCACTGAGCCAAAAAGACTACAGTATTCCGGCTCGCCCGGAATACGCGTAACACGCTTTATATACCACATGTACTGTAACGGCGGCACCCGTTACAATTACCCCCCCCTTTAGTCCGTGACATCCCGGCACGGATGTCGAGGCTTCTAGCGTATCATCTCGTACTTGCTTCTAGGCCCGTTGACTTCCCGCAAGAGCGATCGAAGCCACTGCCTTTGCTTGCTGGCTTCGCTGAGCGCAATATACTCAGCTTCGGTGGTGGACGTCGCCACGCACCGCTGCTTCGCCGATGTACAGCTTATCGGCCCCCTATTTAGCATGAATAGGTGTCCTGATACTGAGTGTCGGTCGTGGTGATCACCCGCGTAGTCTGCGTCGCTATATCCTTGCAATAGAGGCGACGTCTCACCTGTTGCAGGATTACCAACGCTCTAAGATACGTAGCGAAAATGGCCGTGTATCCCACAAGCTGTGGAACTATCACTTCAAATAGGATGCAGGTGGTGCACTCAGAACACTGCAGTATATAGACCATAGAATAGAATAGAATTAATTAACATATCTACGGGGCCTACGTACTATTTGTAGACCGGCTCTCAATGCCAGCTCAGGCCCAGAGCTGATTTACGAAGCCTGGCACCAGTGCAGAGCGGGGTAAATCGCCCGACTATGCTGAGGCTGGCGATGATCCAAACACCCGGCTTCTATGCAGTCATGAAGCCTGATGCCCGGCTTTACCTACAGCCAGGAATCCTAACGCCCAGCCTAGTCCTCTATGCAGTGCCGCTGACGTAGTATCTTACGTCCGTGCCAAAGGGGGCCGGTTACAACATCACCGTCAACCCCCCGAAAGTGAGTCGCAGTCCGCGAGTTCCGTGGACGTATCGTAATACGTGTAAAACCCTGTTCCAGTTCCGCACCATAGGAGCCGAGCAGGGCAAGGATCCTCTCACCATTGTCATTAAGGGTGACTTTGACCTTCCTTCGCGCCTCCAGGTCGGCTCCAACAAGAGCCTTATTGGCAGGCAAAGGTGCAACTATCACTGGCAAAGGTATCACTATCAAAGCCGCGGATAATGTGATAATCCAGAACCTACACATCCACAATATCCTCGACGATGACTGCATTACGATTCACAGTTCAACCAGAGTCTGGATTGACCACATTGACCACAACCAGTCTTCTGTAATGGTGGGTGCACCAGATGTGAGAATCTAGCCACCCAAGGAAGGGATGATTTTACTAAGACAACACACTGTCTTAGGAAAAAGAGCCAAAGGGTCGTAGCTTAGACTATTCCACAACGCAGCAATCAGGTGTATGATGTAGTGGAGTGGTTTAGACAAGTTGCAACAAATGTTGAGTCTGAGAACTCAGGGATAAGTCAGAGGTTAGCACCTCACTGACTTTTCAGAAACAAGGAGTAACAAGATGAATGCTTGGAAGCGTGGAAAAGACATGGAAGTATGTGATAGTCGATTTACTGTATTGTCTGCTTGCCCTTTCTTAAGGAAAGGGCAATCCTATTTATGCTAAAGGAGTGTAGTTCTCTCATTTTCCAAGACTTTCCATGACTAACCAGGCTTGGTAACTGTAGTCGACGTAAGAGAATCCCATAGAACCATCTCTTAGGTTCCTAGCCTATAGGAAGTGAAAGGAGGTCCAAGGTCAGAGTACCCCTATCGACAGATTATGTCATAACTTAACCAATCTTGTGGGTAACTAAGGAGTGATGACGTGAATCATAGAGGGTTGTAGAGATATGCTATGTGGTCATATCGGCCCAGTAACTAAGGAGCAATGACGTGTAATGAATCATAGAGGGTTATAGCAATCGTTGAGTAGTATTGCTTTTGTTGTTGGTGTGACAAGCCAAAATATGTATAGTGACTTGTAGGTTTGAGGAGGAGATTTCTAAGTTTGCTCTTGAGTTTTATAGCAAACTGAGTGCAACGAATGTCAGTATGACATTGAGCCACCTTGGAGTATCCCGCAATGAACCTTCGGTAGAAGTTGGCAAAGCCCAAGAAGGCTTGCACTTCCTTAACCGTGGTTGGTGTTGGCCATTCCAACACTGCCGTGACCTTTGCTTGGTCCATCTTGATGCCGTGTGTCCCGATAATGTAACCCAAGAATTCGACTTGGTTTTTATGGAACTCGCATTTCTCTGGTTTGAGGAGTAGACTGTACTCCTTCAATTTCTTCAGGACGAGTTTGACATGTCTGACATGTTCCTCTTCGCTCGTCAAGTATACCAGGACGTCATCTAAGTAGACGATGGTAAAGATGTCCAAATATTCGTGCAAAGTATCATTCATGAGTGCCCAAAGGGCATGACTTGATACTTGAATAGGCCATAGCGGGTGCGGAATGCTGTTTTCCACTCTTCCCCAGCCTTGATTCGGATCAGGTTGTATGCTCCTCGCAGATCCAGCTTACTGAAGATCTTTGCTCCTTGGAATCTATCGTGTAACTCGTTGATTAATGGCAGGGCATACCTGTCCTTGATTGTAATGTTGTTCAACGCTCGATAGTCCACGCATAACCGTAGGGAACCGTCCTTCTTAGGCACGAATAGTACCAGACTTCCTGCTGGTGATGTGGATGGTTTGATGAATCCTTTCGCTAGGTTATCATCGATGTACTCCTTAAGTACCTTCAGCTCCTTTTCCGATAGCTGATATATTGGTCCGAACGGTGGACTCTTGTCTTTCTCCAAAGGTATCTCATGATCCCATGGTTGGTGCTTAGGAAGTGCCTTGTTCTTGGGGCCTTCCGGGAATAGCTGCTCGTATTCCTTATACTCCACTGGTATACTCGTCGGTGAGGATGCCTGGGCTAGGTCATCTGGCTCTGTAGAGGTTGCACACACCTCGCGTCGGCCCTTGGAGGTACTCCTCCTTCGTTGTGCGGTGCCCGTTCGTTGTTCGCACCCGCACTGGCTCATTGAAACTTCTCCACTCCGCCAGTCGATCTGGGGGTTGTGTTTCTTGAGCCACGGCACTCCAAGGATGCACGCATGGTTGTCCATGTGCACGATATCAAACTGGATTGTTTCCTTGTGTCCGTGTAGCATGAACATTTCTAATGGAACCATTTTGTGGGTTACCATTCCCTCGTTGGTTGAGATGGGCTCTCCATCTACAACCATAAGTGGGTAAGGTTCAGTTTTCAATTGTGTCTTGAGACCTCGTTCCTCTGCTACTTTCTTCGTCATAAAGTTGCCCGTCGCTCCTGAGTCTATCATTGCTCGGAGGTGTCGCTTCTGTATTTTGGCGATCACATATAGTTGCGTAGCGCCTACTGTAGCGCATAGCTGATTCTTACTAGGCCTCTTTTTGTCACTCGTCGGTGGCCTACCGTCGAGGACTCCTAGTTTTTTGACTCGTCGGAGGGATAGAATTGTTCATCATCCTCTATCAGTGGTCCTTCTTGCCTCTCTGCTTCTCCTAGCAGATGTGGGTACGTTTCCCACACTTGGGACTTCTTAGGGGGCGATTCCCCTTGGAGATGAAGTTGTCCAGTAGATCGTCATCTTCAGACTATTTCCCTCATCTCTGACCAGCTGTAGTATACTGGTATCTTGTTCTGGGGATAGTGTTGGTTCTTTTCTTTATCATGGTAGTGTGTATAGCACAAGCCGTCGTAGCACTTGCTCCACTCCATGTATTGGTGCCAGGGGTGATCAATCTCTGCCACATTGCGCTGTTCCAAACCCTTCCCTTCTTCTTCGTTCGCAAACGTGGTTTCTGCCATGGTTTTGCGAAGGTCGTCTACGTCCTCATCTGCAGTCTCGTAGTTCATGGAAGCTTGGTGTTCGTGTAGTTTCCACCGCTTCTCAAAGTCTTCTTGCACGTCTAGTGCTTCGTACTCCGCGAGCCTGTATTTTAGCCAGCTG